GCTGGTCTCAAACTCCTGTACCCGCCTCGGCCCCCAAAGTGCTGAGACTACAGGCATGAGCCACCTTGACCGGCCCCTTAATACTTATTCCTTCTAATAACGTTGATTGTGTGCCTACTATGTACAATTACTAGACTAGGTTCTGAGAATGAACAAGATGAGACTCCTGCCGTAGGGAGCTTCTGTTCTGATTCCGCGTGAGTTTGGGAGGAGAACATGTAGACAAGCAATTCAACAAATAACAAGCTGGTTTTTGAGTGTGATATCTGCTTTGAGAGAACCAGGCAGGACGAGGCAGTGCAGAGGAGGACGAGTCCCCCTTCACAGGATGAGGGAGAATTTCTCCGCAGAGGTGACGTGTGAGCTGAGGTCTGAAACATGAGAAAAATCCAGCTGTGGCAGGAGGTGTGGGAAGTCCATTCGGGCAGGGAAGAGCATGTGCAATGGTCCTGAAGGGGGAAACCGCTTGGCATTTACAGGAGCAGAAAAGAAGCCCAGATGCCCGATGCACGATGAGCAAGAGGAAAAGAACAGAGGTGGCGGGCAGGGTCAGGTCATGCTAGGATTAGTTTGGTTTTTAAAGAGACATGGTCTCACTCTGTCACCCAGGCTGGAGTACAGTGGGGCAATCATAGCTCACCACAGCCTCAACCTCTCCTGAGTTCAAGGGATTCTGTCGTCTCAGCCTTGTAAGTAGCTGGGACTACAGGCATAAGCCCCACCAGGCCTGGCTAATTTCTTTTCATTGTTATTAGAGATGGGAGTCTTGCTGTGTTTCCTAGGTGGGTCTCAAACTCCTGGACTCAAGTGATCCTCCCATCCTGACCTCAAAAAGCACTGGAATTACAGGTTTGTACACTACATCTGGCCAAGATTGGGGGTTTAAAAATGCTTTACTTTTAATTTTTGTGGGTACATAGTAGGTGTATATATTTATGGGGTGCATGACATGTTCTGGTACGATCATGCAATGTGTAATAATCATCAGGATAAATGGAATACCCCTCACCTTAAGCATTTATCCTTTCTTTGTTTTGCAAACAATTCAATTAAGCTCTTTTTCTTTTTTCTTTCTTTCTTTTCTTTTTTTTTTTTGAGATGGAGTGTAGCTCTGTCTCCTGGGCTGCAGTGCAGTGGTGCAATCTCGGCTCACTGCAACATCCGCCCCATTCTCCCAGGTTCAAGTGATTCTCCAGCCTCAGCCTCCTGAGAAGCTAGGACTACAGGTGCATGCCACCAAGCCTGGCTAATTTTCGTATTTTTAGTAGAGACAGTGTTTTGCCATGTCAGGCTGGTCTTGAACTCCTGACCTCAGGTGATCCTCCTGCCTTGGTCTCCCAAAGTGCTGGGCTTACAGGCAAAGCTGCCACCCCAGCCTCTTTTAGCTATTTTAAAATATACAATAAAATATCGTCTACCATTGTCACTCTGTTGTACTACCAAGTACTACATCTTATTCATTCCAACTGCATTTTTGTACCCATTAATTATTCCTGTGCACCCCCCCCCCAGCCCACAACCCTCCCCAGCTTCTGGTAACCATCATTCTACTCTCTATTTCCGTGAGTTCAATTGTTTTCATTTTTAGCCGTCACAAATTGGAAGCATGCAAGATTTGTCTTTCTGTGTCTGGCTCTTTTTAGTTAACCTATCTACATATAATGTATATACACACATATCTGCATATTTATTTATAATATACTAAATAAAAGGTAAATTCTTAATGCCCCAGTGAAAGGGAATGGCAGGCCAGGTGTAGTGGCTCACACTTGTAATCCCAGCACAGCGGGAGGTTGAGGGGGGAGGATCACTTGATCCCAGGAGTTTGAAACTGGCCTGGGAAACATGGTGAGGCCCAGTCTCTACAACAAATATAAAGATTAGGCAGGCATGGCGGCTTGTACCTAGGGTCTCAGGAGGCTGAGGTGGGAGCATGACTTAAGCCAAGAAGGCAGAGGTTGCAGTGAGCCGAGATCACACCACTGCGCTTCAACCTGAATGACAAAGCAGTAACTTGCCTCAAAAAAAAAAAAAGAAAGAAAAAATGGGTATCCCAGAAAACTTTAAAATGTCTATTCACAAATGTATATAATCATAGTATATCAGTCAAAAAGTAAATTCTTAATACTTCATGGCAAGTGAACGGCAGGCCACGGATGACGGCTCATGCTTGTAACCTCAGCACGTTGAGAGGCCCAGGCAAGAGGACTGCTTGTGTCCACAAGTTTAAGACCAGCCTCAGCAACAGTGAGGACCCACCTCTCAAACAAAATCAGACATTAGTCAGGGATGGCGGCAGGTGCCTGTGGTCTACGCTACTCAAGATGCTGACTTGGGAAAGTCAGTGGACACCAAAAGGCCACGGCTGCAGTGGAGCCACGAACACACGATGACACTCCAGCCTGGGTGGCAGAGCAAGACCCTAAGGGAAAAAATTAACTGTAAAAAATATAAAAAAGGAAGACATGAAATGAGATGCTACCACGTCCAGGGCAAGACAAACAGCCCAAGCAGAGGCCCGTTCCCCTCTGAACCCCCAGGAGACAAGAAAAACCATGAGACACTAAATAAGAGACATCACTGTAAAAAGAGACAGGCAGAATTTGCTACAAATCTGTCAAAAATACACTCTCCAGGTGAGAGTAGGGACAGGTGTTCAGCCAAGGCGCCCTGCTGAAAAGTGAACAAGTGAGAGGCCAGGGAAGCTCTGGGCTTTTTGATGCTGTTGATGATCTAAGGCCTGAAGAGCTGGATCCAGAGGAGGCCACTGTGAGCAAGTGCAGGGCAGAAAAGCCACGAAGAGGCAGGAGATGAGCCTGGAGAGGCCGTGGTGGGCACAAGCTGGTATAGGAAAGGCCACCATGAAAAAACAGCTGAACCTTGAGAGGCAGACGTGACGCAGAGGATGGGGCTGAAGAGGCCACTGGGAGGCAAACGCAAGGCCTGCCAAAATGGCTGAAAAACAGGTAGTAACAGGGCCAGAAAAGGCCTGTATAGGGAATTGCTGGGCTGAAGAGACTGTGGTCAGGCAGGAGCTGGGTCTGTCCAGGCCACCAGTAGGCCGAAGGAAGGCCTTGAAAGCCCGACTTGAAAAAGACTAAAGTCTATAGAGGCTGCTGGGAGCTGGGCAGCAGCTGGGACAGACGTAGTTGCTGTGAGGCAGGAGCTGAGCCTGTAAACCCAGTGAGGAAGAAGAGCTGGGCTTGGGGAGGCCGCCATGAGGGAGGCAGAGGCGGACTGGAGAGGCCAGATGGGAGGCAGGAGCTGGGCTGAAGGAGGCCGCTGGGAGGCAGCAGCTGGCCCCACCCTGGAGGGGCCCACGTCAGAAAGTTTTGCGCCTGGAGAGGCCGCTGGGAGGGCAGGAGCTGGGCCTGTGAGGCAGCCAGGGGGAAGAGCTGGGCCCAGAGAGGACGCCGGGAGGCAGCACCTGGGCCTGGAGTGGCCGTGAGAGGCGTGAGCCGGGCCTGGAGGGGCTGCTAAAAGGCTTCCATGAACTGGGCCTGGAAGGCGGCTGTGAGGAATGAGCTGGGCCTGCAGAGGCCACTGGGACACAGGAGCTGGGCCTGCAGAGGCTGCTGAAAGGCAGGAGCCTCCCTCGGGGAGGCCATGGTGAGGCATGAGATTTTCCTAAAGAGGCCGTCGGAAAGGCAGGAGCTGGGTTTGTCCACGCTGCCATGAGGCAGGCAGGCGGGCAGGCAGAGATGGCCTGGGGGGGCCGATATCGAGGGCAAGAGCTGGGCCTGGAGAAGCTATGGTCAGGCAGGAGCTGGGTCTGTCCAGGCTGCCGGGAGGTGGAAGGTGGGCTTAGAAAGCTCAACTTGAGGAAGGCTGTGGCCTACAGAGGCTGCCTGGAGCTGGGCAAAACGTGGTTGTTTTGAGGCAGGAAGTGAGCCTGTGATGCAGCCAGGAGGAAGGGCCAGGCCCGGAGAGGCTGCCTTGGAAATGTTCTGGGCCTGGAGAGGATGCCAGAAAGCCAATGCTGGGCCTGGAAAGGCCACCGGGAGGCACCAGCTTGTCCTAAAGAGGCCACTGGGAGACCACGGCTGGGCCTGTACATACAGGCTGCCAAAAAGGCAGGAGCTGGGCCTGATAGAGGCTCTGGTGAGGCCGAGTGCTGGGCCTGGAGGGTCCACTGAGAGGCAGAGGCTGGGCCTGAGGGGCCTACCACAGGCAGGAGCCTGCGGAGGCCCACCAGAGGAAGCTTTGGGCCTGGAGAGGCTGCCGGGAGGCAGGAGCTGGCCCGGGAGAGTCCGTCAGAGGCAGGAGCTAGGCCTAGGCAGCTGGGCCAGTGCAAGGGAGGAACTGGGCCTACACTAGAGGCCAGTGAGTAGCCAGAGCTGGGCCCGGAGAGGCCGCCAGAGGCATGAGCTATGTCCAGAGAGGCTTCCAAAAGGCTTTGAGAGGTAAAGCATGGGATCTGCAGAGGGTGTTCTCAAGCGAAAGCTGGGCCTTTACATGCCACTGGGAGGCAGATGTTGGGCCTGCAGAGGTGAACGTAAGGACGGTTTGGGCCGATAGTGGTTGATGGCAAATGGGCAGGAGCTGGGCCAAAAGAGGTTTTTAAGAGGCACCAGGTGTGCTGTGTTGCAGCTAAGACGTAGAGTTGGGCCTGGGGAAGCCGTCATGAGGCAGAGGCTGGGATTTTAGAGGCCAATGGGAGGTAGGATCTGGGCCAGGAGAGGCCAACTTGAGAAGGATTTGGGCATTCAGAGGCCACCAGAAGGCAGTAGGTGGGCCTAGAGAGGATGACTTAAGGAAGTTTTTGGCCTGGAGACGCCATTCTGGGACAAAAGCTGCAGGTGGAAATGCTATTGTGAGGCATAAGCTTTGCATAGAGAGGCCAGCGTGAGGCAGGACCTGGACCTATCCAGGCTGCCGGGGAACAAGCAGCAACCCAGATGGGGAAGATTCCATGAGGCAAAAGCTGGGTCTGGAAAGGTCCCTGTGAGGCATGAGCATGGCCTAAAGAGGCCATTGGGTGGCAGGAACTGGGCACGTAGAGGCTGCTGAAAGGCAGGAGCTTGGCTTGGTGGGGCCATGGTGAGGCAGGTGCTGGGCATGAAGAGTCGCTGTTAGGCCTGCAGAGGCAGACGGGAGCCAGGAGCTGCGCCTGGAGAGGCTGCCGCACGCAGTAGCTTTGCCTGGGGAGGCTGCCAAGAGGCATGAGCTTGGCCTACAGAGCCCAGCGTGAGGCAAGTGCTCAGCCTGGAGTGGCCAACTTCAGGAAGATTCCAGCCTGGAGAACGTGTCAGGGGCAGGAGTGGGGCCTGTCAGGGCTGCTGAAAGGCAGGACCTTGGACTGCGGGTGCTGCGGTGAGGCAGATGCTGGGCCTGGAGAGTCTGCTGTGAGGCAGGATTTGGGCCTGGAGAGGCCAATGGGAGGCAGGATTTGGACTTGGAATGGCAGACTTGAGAAAATTGTCTGGTGAGGCCACCAGGATGCAGGAACTGGGCCTGAAGAGGCCACCGAGAGGCAGGAACTGGGCCTAAAGTGGTCACCTCGAGGAAGTTTTGGGCCTGGACAGCCTGTCAGGGGACGGGAGCTGGGCCTGCAGAGGCCACCATGAGCTGGGCCTAATGAGGTCAGTGTGAGGCAGGATCTGGGCCTGTCAGCGCTGCCAGGAGGCAGGTGGAAACTTGTTCAAGGAAGACCTCCATGAGGCACAAGCTGGGCCTGGAGAGGCCACTGGGAGACAAGAGCTGGGCTGGAGAGGCCACTGGGAGGCTGAAGGTGGGCCTGTCCAAGCCATTGGGAGGCTGAAGGTGGGCCTGGAGAGCTTGACTTGGGGCAGTTTGGGGCCTAAAAAAGCCACCAGGAGCTTGGCAGGAGCTGAGCAGAAAGAGGTTGTCGTGAGGCAGGTGCTGGCCCTCTAGGCACAGCTGAGAGGAAGAGCTCAGCCTTGAGAGGCCGACTTGGGGACACTGTGGGCCCAGATAAGCCACTCAGAGGCAGGATCTGGGACTAAAGAGGCCATTGTCAGATGAACCTGGGCCTGTGGAGGCTGTGGTGAGGCAGTAGCCTCATCTGCAAAGAGGACCATGAGGTGGGGTATGGGCCTAAATAGACCATTGTGAGCCATGAGCTTGGCCTGTAGAGGCCAACTGGAAAAAGTTCTGGGCCTGGAGAGGCTGCCGGCAGGCAGGAGCAGAGCGAAAAGATTCAAGCACATTACTTATTGGGCACTTTATTTCCATTATTACATTGTAATATATAATGAAATTATTTTATTATTTTTATTTTATTTTGAGAAGGTATTTCACTCTTGTTGCCCAGGCTGGAGTACAATGGTGTGATCTTGGCTCACTGCAACCTCCACCTCCCAGGTTCAAGCAATTCTCCTGCCTCAGCTTCCCAATTAGCTGCGATTACAGATGCCCACCGCCATGCCTGGCTAAGTTTTTGTAGTTTTAGTCGAGACAGGGTTTCACCATGTTGGCCAGGCTGGTCTCAAACTCCTGAATTCAGGTGATCCACCCACCTTGGCTTCCCAAATTGCTTGGATTGCAGGCATGAGCCACTGCACCCAGTGAGAGATTTATTTCCTATACAGGGTTGCAGCCTGCAGGGTAGTCCTTCTAATGGGCTGGGAAGCATTGACTCCAGTCAGAAGCCAGAAGCAGACACTTCAAGGGAGAGGTAAAGGAAACAGTAATTTACGCTGAGTGGCATGGCCAAATACACATATTTAATAAGCTCTAGGAGGAGCCATGAATATTTATGAAAGGAGAAATGCGTGCAGTCACAGTTGAGTTTCTTACTCCTTCATGGGTCCCATGTACAAAAAAAATGGCACTGTTAGCATGATCCCAGGGTGACATTTCAGCCCTCTGACATTAAAAGGTGAAGCAGAGGACATGAAAACTTGCTCTGTGCATCCTCTGTATACTGGCCAGTACCTCTCTGTCATGGGTGGTCTCTTATCAGGCAAGAAAGGAGAGGCAGCTTCACAGCTGGTTGATCTCAGTGGTGGAGTCTTTTGAAAGCTCTGGTTTTTCTTAAATCCTTGGGTGAGGTGTCTGTTCAGATTTGTGTGCATCTTTAGTTGGGCTGTTTTACTTAGTTTTAAGATTTTTTTTTGTATATTGAATACAAATTCTTTCTCAGAACTGTATTTTGCAAATATTTTCTTTCAATATGTGACTTTTCTTTTTATTCTCTTAATAAGATCTTTTCCAGAGTATACTCTTTTAATATTTAAAATATCCACTTAATTCTTTGTTCTGTGTGTATTGACACTTTGTGTTGCTTGTTAAAATTCATTACCGAACCCAAGGGCACAGAGCTTTTATTCTATGTCTTCTTCTAGAAATTGTATAGTTTTGCATTTTTTTGTAAGGGTGATTTTCAGTGATTATTTGTATAAGTTGTAAAGTTTTCATCTACATTCATTTCATTTTCTATGGTTTCCAATGAATCATTCCTTCCCTACTTTTTGGAGACACAGGATAGTGGGCTCTGTTAGAGTAGGTGGGTAGCTAGACATGAACATGATGGGAAGGCTCACCTGGAGGGACCATCAACAATTTATATATTAGTAGCAGCTCTAATGCTGGAGTGGATGGGCAGTTGTCAGTTGTGGATAGGAGGAAGAAGAGGTATCTGTGCAGAAAGAAACACCCTAGAACTCCTCTTCGGGTGCCCCAATCATCATTCACTCTTCAGTTAAAATGTCAGAAAATGCTAGCTACATGCTGATAAGAAGGACAAAGGAGACATTCATAAGAGAAACCTGGCACTGTAAGTACAGGTTGGGGCAGAGAAGGACATTCAAAAGAGACAGGCAGGCACAGGAGGTACAGACGTGACCACTGTAGGGCCTTCCCGGGAGGCGGGAAGGAGCCAGCCCCAACAGTGACTTTGGGTTGATCACCACACATGTGCATTACCTAACAGTGAGGAGGTCCCACGAACCTAAGAGGGGCAAGTCAGGGACTTAAGACAGGAGCAGAAAAACCAAAGAAAACAGGTGGATACTTGAGACAGAGGCAGGAATGTGAATACGTCCAAATAAAATTCCCTGCACAGGACCCTTGGGCTGTTTTCCTGCACAATCAGTCTGCTCCTCCCTTGGGGCCTACGTATTTTTTTCTAGAATAAGCTAGAAACAGTGTATTTGTTTTCAATGAAGTTATCTGCCATCTTTGTACTGCCTCTTAATGAAAATATTTCTCCCAAGTTAGACAAGAACTGTGACATCAGCTCTTTCCAGTAATAGCTCCATTTCAGTTCGAATTTCCAGAACTGTGGGTGCTGAATAACTGGCGCTCTGACTTTAAGTGGTGCAGAAGGAGGCCAGTAGGGGTGCGCCAGCCATCACACTGGGAGCAAGAGGGCACTGCCTGTCCCAGCTGCCAGCTGGGGGCGTGCTGCCACAACACTGAGCACGAGGGTTCCGCAGTGTCCCCAGCTGCCAGCAGGGGGCGTGCTTCCAATACACTGTGAGCAACAGGACCCTACAGTGCCCCCAGAAGCCAGCAGGGGGCCTGCCACCACTACACTGTGAGCCAGAGGGCCCTACAGTGCCCCGAGCAGCCAGCAGGGGACACACAGACACCACACCATAAGCAAGAGGACCCTGCAGTGCTCTGGTTGCCAGCACAGGGCTGCTGCCACACCAGAGAAAGAGGGTCTTGCAGTGCCCCCAGCGGCCAGCAGGGGGCGTGCCGGCACTACACCGCGAGTAAGAGGGCCCAGCAGCACAGACACCACACCAGGAGCAAGAGGACGCTGTATTGCCCTGGTTGCCAGCAAGGGGCGTGTTGCCACTACACTGTGAGCAAGAGGGCCCTGCAGTGCACCAGCCATGAGCAGGTGATGCCATCACCTCACTGTAAGAGGGCCCTACAGTGGCCCTAGCCGCCAGAAGGGGGCGCAGGCGCAGTACCGTAAGCAAGAGGGCCCTGCACTGCCCGGACACCAGCAGGGGGTGCCCGAGCCCGCCTTTTCAGATGGCACCATGGAGGCGTGCATGGCGTGTGTGGCGCTGTGGCGGCATGCGTGGTGGCAGGGCGTCGGCATGCGTGGCATGCGTTGTGCTTGCGGGTGTAATGTGCGTCACGGCACTGGCGTGTATGGTGTGCATGGTGTCGCGGCGCCAGCGTGCGTGGCGTGCGTCGTGGTGCTTGCGTGCGTGGCATGCGTTGCCGTGCCGGTGTGCCAGGGTCTTGCAGTGCACTCAGCGGTCAGCAGGGGGCATGCCGCCACTACACCGCGAGTAAGAGGGTCAAGCAGCACAGGCACCACACCGGGAGCAAGAGGACGCTGCATTGCTCTGGTTGCCAGTAGGGGTCGTGTTGCCACTACACTGTGAGCAAGAGCGCCCTGCAGTGCCCCAGCCGCCAGCAGGTGATACCCATCCCCGCAGTGTAAGAGGGCCCTGCAGTGACCCTAGCCACCAGCAGAGGGCGCCCGAGTCCGCCTTTTCAGATGGCGCCGCAGCGGCGTGCGTGACGTGCGTGGCGGCCCGGCGCTGGAGTGCGTGGCGTGAGTTGTGGCGCTTGTGGGCATGGCGTGCGTTGTGTCCAGGCGCCGGCGTGCGTGGCGTGCATGGCTTGCGTGCCTGGCGTGCGTCCATACGCCGGCGTGCATGGCGTGCGTGGCTTGCGTGCGTCCAGACGCCGGCGTGCATGGCGTGCGTGGCTTGCGTGCGTCCAGACGCCGGCGTGCGTGGCGTGCGTCGTGGCGCTTCCGTGCGTGGCGTGCGTCGCGGTGCCGGTGTGCGTGGCGTGCATGGCGTCGCGGCATTGGCGTGCCAGGGTCTTGCAGTGCTTCAAGCGGCCAGCAGGCGGCGTGCCGCCACTACACTGTGAGCAAGAGCGCCCTGCAGTGCGCCAGCCGCCAGCAGGTGATACCCATCCCCGCAGTGTAAGAGGGCCCTGCAGTGACCCTAGCCACCAGCAGAGGGCGCCTGAGTCCGCCTCTTCAGATGGCGCCGCGGCGGCGTGCGTGACGTGCGTGGCGGCCCGGCGCTGGAGTGCGTGGCGTGAATTGTGGCGCTTGTGGGCAGGGCGTGCGTGGTGTCCAGGCGCCGGCGTGCGTGGCGTGCAGGGCTTGCGTGCGTGGCGTGCGCCCAGACGCCGGCGTGCATGGCGTGCGTGGCTTGCGTGCGTGGCGTGCGTCCAGACGCCGGCGTGCGTGGCGTGCGCCGTGGCGCTTCCGTGCGTGGCGTGCGTCGCGGTGCCGGTGTGCGTGGCGTCGCGGCATTGGCGTGCCAGGGTCTTGCAGTGCCCCAGGCGGCCAGCAGGCGGCGTGCCGCCACTACACTGTGAGCAAGAGCGTCCTGCAGTGCCGCAGCCGCCAGCAGGTGATACCCATCAAGGCAGTGTAAGAGGGCCCTTCAGTGGCCCTAGCCGCCAGCAGGGGGCGCCCGAGCCCTCCTTTTCAAATGGTGTCGTGGCGCCGGCGTGCGTGTCTTGCGGGTGTGCGTGGCGTCGCGGCGCCCCCCCCAGCGTGCTGAGTTGTGTTCTCCTTAGTGCACACCTGGGGGACACCGCGAGTGCGGAGCTGCGTTTTCCTCTGCACGGACCTACGCGGCACAGCCTCGCTTTGGGACTACTGTGGGCCGCGTCCACGGTGAGTAAAATCCTTTCTATTTGCAGCCCTGACTGCTTAGGGTCAGAGACTAGTAAGATCTCGGGGTGGAAAACTGGACGCCAAACGCCCCTCTGAATCCTGCGCGCCTGGGTTCTCCCCCACAAGGCCGGGCGACTGCAGCGCGAGGTGAGCAGGGCAGCCTCGGAACACAAATAGAGCGTTCCTAAGGCAGACACGACCTCCGAAATGCGAATACAACACCCGCAGCGCTCATGTCGAAAACACCTGTAACTGTTACTGTGAAATCCGCACTGCTCACGGGGCCGGGCCAGTGCCGCAGTTTTAATAATCAGCGCCGACGTATCAGCGCAGACTAGAAACTCAAGTATGGTTAGGGCTTAGGGTGAGGATTAGGACTAGGGGTTAGGGTTGGAGTTAGGGGTCGCCGGTTAGGGGTTAGGATGTAGAGGTTAGAAGAACTTTAGGCACAAGACATTTAAACGGTTTATTTGAGCAAAGGAATGATTCATGAATCACACCTGAAGCACCAGAACGGAAAACGGCTCGGGGCTTCGCGTTCTTAGTGGTGGCAGCTGAGCGAGGTTCCTTCTTGGCGCCTGTTGTGGGGATGGTTCCCTCCGCGTCCCTGGTCGTGCAGCCAACTGGCGGCTGGGCTTTTTGTCATCGACTGGTTGGTTGGTTAATGTTTTTTAAGGCAGTTTAAATGCCTCCAATTCGGTTTCCGTTTGCTTAGGCAGGACCTCGGGCCAACGGCTTCCTCCTTTTTGCTTTAACAGGTCAAAGCCGTAATTCATTTTTATTTTACTGGGATTGATAGAAGTAAATTCACATTTTTGTTGTTATTCAGAAAGTCGGTTTAATTGGCAACCTGTTTGATGGTGCATAAAATAATGTCTGTCGATCATTAGCGTCTTAGATTAGATGAACTGCGTTAACTCTATTAAGCTTTGTTATTAAACAGGAGTTGAGTTTTTCTTTCTCCTAGACTCTAACCATTCAAAATACACTCAGCATCTCCTACCGATGCGGATACTTTCTGAGAAATTTGTCCTTAGTGGTTTCATCTTTGTGCTTTGTGGTTATAAAAGCTCGATGGTGCAGCGCACTCCACACGTAGGTTATAGGGTGTAGCCTGTTGCTCCCGGGCCACAAACCTGCATAGTATGTCTCTGTACTGAATGCTGTAGTCAGCTGTCACGCTGTGGTGACTGTAGACTGTGATCCCAAAACATCTGAGTCAGGACTCAGTCAATTTAGAAAGCTTTTTTTTTTGCCAAGGTTAAGGACATGTCCATGACACAGCCTCAGGAGGTCAGGGTAGAGCTTGCTTTTATACGTCTTAGAGAGACATGAGACGCCAGCCAATCTGTGTGAGAGGTACCGTCGTTTGGTTCAGTAAGGAGGAACAACTAGAAGTAGGAGGTGGGGGTGCTTCTGGGTCAGAAGTAGATAAAACAGAAGGTCGCATCCTTTTGAATCCTTGATCAGCCTTCCACTGAATACAATTTAGTCTGGTTCAGAGAATCTGCATTTTTACATACACAGTAGGGCAGAGGAATGGCCTGAGCTTGGCCCACTACAACCTCTGCCTCCCAGGTTCAAGCTATTGTCTTGCCTCAACCTCCCGAGTAGCCGGGATGACAGGCATGCACCACCAGGCCTGGGAAATTTTTGTATTTTTAGTAGAGATGGGGTGTCTCCATGTTTGTCAGGCTGGTCTCAAACTCCTGACCTCAGGTGCTCTGCTTGCCTTGGCCTCCCAAAGTGCTGGGCTCACAGGTGTGAGCCCCCATGCCTGGTCAGGAAGCTTATTTTGATTCTGATATTGTCAACTGTATTTCAGGCATAACTTGGAGCATTAAATACTGCTTTGGTGTTTTATTACACAAATAAAACACAGATCCCTTTTTGTCGTATTTATTGCTAGTGATGCCGACATCTAAATTTAGAAACATTGCAGAGTCTGGGCTTCCAGTAATTCTGTGTGATCCTCTAAAAGGTAAATTATTTTTTCTTGTAAGACACAGTGGCATCTAAAGTCACATTGAATGTCCTGCCACTTTTGTTTCTCTAGCTTCATCAATTTCTGCGAAGCATCTTTGGGAGAATAGCTTTGACTATCCCTTTAAACTCTTCTGTATGAGAAAGCATCCTGATGAAACATTGAATAATTGTGGTCGCAAATTCCGTCTACAGTCTTCCTGTCTTTGAATTTTTTTCCAATGGCAAATATTTGCTCTTGTTGTTTTGTAACCAAAGGGAATGCTGGGAAACAAAGACGAGCGTTCAGTAGAGTAAGTGATTCAGTCACAGTCAATTTGCTATTTTAACTTTTTTTTAACTTACACTTTTGAAAACATCCAGCCATAGATTGAAATAGTCTCCAAAATATGAATTTTTTCCCTGGTTCTAAGGTGGCCAGCTTTCCTAGAGAGTGAACCACACTACAAGAAAAAAGCTATGATAAATATGTTTATGTGTATCTGTTATATTCATATAAAACGTGAAAGGTATTTCCTTGAAATTATTTGCATAATTGACTTTGCATTATGAATGCTCTTATTTTAAAAAGTAGTAATGTTATGTACTACTTATTAATATGAATAATTAAGCAGATATTTGAAAAAATTATAATTTTTAAATAAAGGTTTTATTTGAAATTAGTTTGATTCACACTGAAATTGGGAAGAAAATGCAGATTTCCTATGTAGACCCAACCTAGTTTCCCCTTGTATAACATATCAAGGTGTATCAGATATGTTATTAACATCTTTTTTTTCGAGGTGGAGTCTTGCTCTGTCACCCAGGTTGGAGTGCAATGGCACGATCTCAGCTCAATGCAACCTCTACCTCCCATGTTTAAGCAATTCTCTTTCTTCAGCCTCCCAAGTAGCTGGGATTACAGGCGCCCACCAGCACGCTTGGCTAATTTTTTGTATCTTAGTAGAGACGGGGTTTTGCCATGTTGGCCAGGCTGGTCTGGAACCCCTGACCTCAGATGATTGGCCCGTCTCAGCCTTCCAAAGCTCTGGGATGACAGGCAGGGGCCAGCATGCCCCGCCTACTGTCGGTATATTTGCTGTAGTTGGGTGTCTGTTCAGATATTTACCCAGTTTTAAAATCACGTATGTATTTTGTAAATATCTTCTCACATCTGTCTTGTCTTTTTGTTCTCTGAATACAGTTTTTCACAGTAGAATATTTAGTTTTATAAAGTCTGTTAACAATATTTTCATGAATTGGCATTTGATGTTGTGTGTTAAAACTCAACACCAAACCCAAATCGCATAGATTTTCCTTTAGATTGTTTATAGTTTTGCATTTCAAATTACAGTCGCTGGACTATTTTGAGTGAGTTTTTGTTTTTCTTAATTTGCGTATATATTCATTTCCTTCTACATGGCTTCCAAAGTCTTCCATCACCGTTTTCGGGAAGGATATGGCCACGGTGGGCTTCATTTTGATTTGAATTTCCAGTTATTACACTGAATAAGCTGAATATTGAATTTTATAGGTAATTCAGGACAGCCGGGCAGGGTGGACATCCACCGAGAAACTGAGCAAGTGTCTGTGCTGAGCTCTGGCACCACCAGAGGGCGCACGAACCCACCCCGACCAACTTCCCTCTGAGGAGCCAGAAGCAGTGAGGAGCTTCCACCTCCTCAGGGCAGCACGAGGGTCGTGTCAAGTAAGTGTTGTTCATTGGTGAGTAAAAAGCTTCCTTTCCACGGCCCTGAGTGCAGAGCAGAGAGTGTTCAGAGTACTCAGCAAAGGAAGACGTTCATCTAGAAAAATGAAATCCCCAAATCCCATCCTTATGACTACACCTGATGTCATTGTCAACGTCCCAGACACAGTGGCCTCTCATGTGATAATCACACCGTGCCCTGACACCAATCTAACATCCGTAGCGTACTCTACCGCTAATCTAATAGCCACACTGTTGCTTCTAATACCAATGCCATACTATCCACACAGTGCCCTAATGCTAATGTAATATCTGCCTCTTCTCCAGCACCAATATAATATGTGCACTGTGCCCTGACACCGACGTCCGCCCCGTGCCCTGACACTGGTATCCACACTGTGCCGTAACACTGATGTATCCACACAGTAGCTTCCACTACTAATAAATATGATAATATCTACTCAGTGGGTCTGTTGACGTTGAGGCTTTATAAGGGTTCACAGCTTTGGATGAAGCGTAGCCTCTGTAGTGGATTTTGAGGATGTCTCTGCTTTTCTGGCATAGTATTGATATGGTTGTTTTAAAAAGCAATTTACTTTTTAGTATGTCATACTTCCAGGAAGCTTCAGTAGCAGTGCAAAATATAACCTGTTTCTTTTCTTAGAGTCCCCAGCAGTTACTGCTGTACCACATCTGCAGTGTCCCACAGAATACTCCGGTGTATTTTACCCAAAGCATGGACGCTCTCCCAGGTTACCACCATAACCCCTGGATCAGGAAATCAGCACGGTTCCTACGTGATAATTCAGTCCACAGACTCGTTTCCCTTTTACTTCCTGCCCCACCTGGGAGTATAATGAGCTTTTTCATTCTGAGCCGGTGTTCCTGGCACCGTTCCCAAGACTCTCCTGCATATTTATGATCTTGACACATTTAAAGAGCGTACAGGTTTTTGTTTGAACACGTTTTCAGGTCTTTGGGGTATACACCTAGGAATGGAATCACTGAGTCATACGGCAAATCTACTTGTAACTGAAGAAACACCGAATTATTTGACACATGCTGCACCACTTCATGTTGTCACGAGCAGGGTTTCATGGTTCAGGTTTCTGGATACCGTTGTCAACACTGGTTTTTTTCTCTTTGGCGTAACTGTTGTATGTGAGTTGAGGGACATCTCTGGTTTTAATTCTGAGAAATGATGTTAAGCATCTTTTCATGTGCTTCTTGGTCAAGTGTGTGTTGAAGTCCTTTGTCGATTTTTAGGTTGGGTTGTCTGTTGCTGAATTATAAAAGTTATTTATACATTCTGGATAACAGACACTTATAAAGTATCTAATGTGTGGTTTTTTTCTTCTGTTTTGTGGGTTATTAAAATATAACGAGAGTTAATGTGTAGTCTCTCCCGCGGGGTCCTGAGACAGAGCTCCCAGCCTTTGGAATGTATGAAGTGATGTGTCTTTCGTGTGCTAATGAGATGACTGATGGCTGGGGGCACCTGGACAGCCTCAGTGGGGCTGGCTGCCAAGGGAACCAACCTTGTCACTAGAGGATTTGAAATTTCATCCCCCTCCCATCTCTGTGAAGGGGAGAGGTGCTGATGTCTGACTTGATCACCCGTGGCCACTCATGTACCTAATCTGCCTGTGTAAGGACCGGGCTGGGACAGTGCGAGCGTCTGTGTTGCTGAACATGGGGAGATGCTGGGAGGAGCATATCCGGAGCGGGCGAGGGAGGCCTGCACCCCTTCCACATACCTCACGTTGTGCATCTCTTTATCCGACTGTTCATTCTTAGCCTTTAAAATATCCTTGGCAGTAAGTCAGCAATGGGAAGTACACGGTGCACGGGTTCTGTAACGTGCTGGAGTAAATTGCTGAACCCAGTAAGGCTGTTGTGAGAGCCTCCAGTCTGTCGCCACGTCAGACAGAGGATAACCTGGTAACCTACTGTTTGTGATGGTCATCTTAGAACTGAATGCCCGTATTTTCTCAGAGAAGAGATGAATTACTTTTACCGTTTTTCTTGTCCTGCTCTTCCTACTTAGCTCTTGAGGAATGCAGTTATAAGCTTTACTGTCTCTCCACGAGGTACTTCCTACACTGCAAACTTTTCTAACTGTGTTTACTTAGGAGTTCCAGGGAACAAACCTGGGAATGAACGAGGCACCTCCGGAACTCTCCCCCACCGGGAGATTGCCAGGACACAAGTCAGTGTACAACCTACCTCTGCCCACGAGGACAGCAAGATACCTGATGGATAAGACATCAGAGCTGGTCTCGTTGACCCTGCACCTCCTCACCCCAGCCCCTGCACCTCCTCGCCCCAGCCCCTGCACCTCCTCACCCCAGCCCCTGCACCTCCTCACCCCAGCCCCTGCATGCCATTTTGCCAAGTCCTCCTTTTAAAGCTCCCACTTTCTGCCCCGAAAGTGGAAGTGGTTTCCTCAAGGCAAAGAGGCCGTCCGTTCCCTTTAGCTGCGCACTGGCATAAAGTCACTGCGTTTTTACCATCCTATGTTGGTCAATTGAATTTGCAAGCAGCGAGCAGCATGACCTGCCTTCCTAGGACTGGGTCCTCAGTCTGTGGGGTCTGATGCTCTCTCCAGTTAGTGTCAGAAGTGGACTGCGCTGTAGGACAGCTAGCCGGGACCCAGGATTCGGTCTGTGGGGAAGAACCCGTGCCTCTGTTAATAGAAGTGTCTGTTGAGTGTTGAGAGAAGACAGTTTTTCCTCTTACAACAATTCTATCTTAAAACTGTTTTCTTCATGTCTTCTGAGGCATAAAAGTTATGAATTTTGAGGAAATCAGTAGATTTTCTTTTATGGTTTGTGGTTTTCTGGCAGATCTAAGAAACTATTGCTACATCCAAGGTCATGAAGTTTTAATTTTATGTTTTCTCTGGAGATTTTAGTTTTGCCATATTTAGATCTTTGATCCATTTTAAGTTAAATTTTTCATGTGATATGAGGTGAGAATACAATTTCATGTCCCTTTATGTGGATCGCAAGTCGCCGTACGTCACTTACTGAGGACAGCATTTTTCCTCAATTTACTGGTTTGGACCTTGTCTCAGGTCAGTTGAGCATCGAGGTCCTGCTTTATGTCTGGACTTCCGGTTCAGTTCAGTTGATTTTTCTGTTTATTCTTGTGCCAGTATCACACTGTTTTCATTACCACTGCTTTGTAATAAGATTTGAAACTGGGATGTGCGAACCTCCAGGTTTGGAGTTATTTTTCAGAATGGGTTTGGCTTTTCAGGGTTCCTTGGAATTCTATATGATCATTCGGATCAGCTGTCCCACTTCTGTCCCAAGGCATTTGATATTTTCATAGGAATAATGTTGAATCTGTAGATTGCTTTGTGTAGTTTGGCAAACTTAACAAATATTATCTTTACACCCATGAACATGACATGATTTTACATTTATTTGGGCTTTGGTTAATTTCCTTGATTAATGTCTTACAGTTTGCCCCATCTAAGTCTTGCTCTTTGATTACATTTATTCCTAAACGTATTATTGCTATTATTTAAAGTGGAATTTTTATAATTTTGTTTTCAGATTATTCATTGCTAGTGTATACATATAAAATGGATTCTTTAGCCAGGCACGGTGGCTCACATCTGTAATTCCAGCACTTTGGGAGGCCGAGGCAGGCAGATTACCTGAGGTCGGGGGCCCAAGACCAGCCTGGCCTAAATGGCCAAAACCTATCTCTACTGAAAATACAAAATTAGGCAGACCACCATTGATTTACTGGGATAAAAAATCATGTTCATCGTGTTTGATGCTTTCAAAATACTTTTGGTTTAAATTTGCTGTTATTATGTTGAAGATTCCTAAGTCTACATTCTGAGGTTCTGATCAGTCCTTGATGTGGCGTGGCGCTGAGTAGGACAGAGAAGGATGGGATTGTGAACAGACTGTGGTTAGCGTTTACAGATTTACTGTGTCAGTGCATTACAAATCAGGAGACGGGGTTTCAGGGTTACGAGTTCACCAATCCAATATGATACTATAAGGGCTGCAAGGAGGAGGTTCCGGTTGGCGGTTGGGAGCTGCATGGTAGAGATGAGTGGGAGAGACCAGGTGAGTAACGGGGTGAGGTTGAGAGGTCAGGATGATGGCGAAGGGTTAGGGTGAAAGGGTTTGTGAGGTTCAGGGTTAGGGTTACAGTAAGGGTTAAAGTCAAGTCGGAAGACTGTGTTGAGTGAATTTTTGCATAAGCTGTAAAATATGCATCCATGCTCGTTTTATTTCCTATGGTTTCCAATTGATTGTCCCTTCTTTATTTTTAGAAACACATGGGCTAGTGGGCTCCATGCCAGTTTGCATTTGCAGAACGATGGCCCTGAACACTTCTCCCTCATTCCCACCGCCAGCACCTGCGCGAGGGCCCTGCAGTGCCCCCGGCTGCCAGCAGAGGGTGTGCGAGCCCTGCTTTTCTAATCCCGGAGGCCACAGCGTCCTGCCCATTTCCTCCGCACAGGCCCCTGCGGGTTCTCCTCAGCACAGACCAGGGGACACCCCTCACTTGGGGACACCTCGAACCCGCGTCCACAGTGAGTAAAATCTTTCCTGTTTGCCGCCGTGACTGCTGAGGGGCAGGCACCCTTCCTGTGGAAAATTAGAAACCAAAAACCACGGTGAATCCAGCGCAGCTGAGGTTGATTCTCTGCACCAAAGGCGAGGCAGCCACGGGGCCATACAGGAGGCTCGGAGCGGAAATGCAGCATCAGGAGAGCAGAGAGAACACCCGCCACACTGATGATAACCGCCTATAATACCAGTAATGCTCCTCCTGTGCTGCTGCTGTAGCGCCCATTATACAGACGTCACACCCGTTAGGGGAACGCAGCAGTCACCGCGCAGGTCCGATCCCGGGAACCCGGATGTGTCTCAGGGTGCACAGAGTGCCCGGAACGCCTGTGAGTGCGCACATACCACCCGGAACACCCGAGACACAGTCAGACTAACGTGGCACCCGTCACACTCATGTAATCCCCAGAACATGCACGTGTCCCTCAGCGCACACATTACCCAGCCCATGACACCGTAGGACTAACACGACCATCACATGCATATAACCCTGGGAACACACGTGTCCCTTAGAACACACGTATCACTCGGGACGCGAACATGGTCTTTGGAGCGTCTGCAGCACCGAGTGTGGGACCCTCCGGCTCTCACCGGGACACGGGGTTCACCGTCTGTGCTGGGCTGGGTTCAGGCTGGATTTGGCATCTGTGATGAAGTGTGATGTTGCTATTTCTGCCTTTCTGACATGGTATTGACGGTCGTTTTTAAGTAGTTGACTTCCCAGTAACCTCATGCATCCGGGAAACTGGCACCTGCAGTTAGTGTGCCTTCTCCTTTCCCTCCGATTCCCCAGCAGTTACTGCTGTGCTAGATTTGCAGCTTCTCACAAAATACTCCCGTGTGTTTCACCAAAAGCAGAAACACTCCTCCAGGTGACCCCCACATACCCCCAAATCAGGAAATACACGGTTCATTTTTTTTTCTTTTGTGTTTGGATACAGCATGTTGCTCTGTTGCCAGACTAGAGTGCAGTGGTGCGATCTCAGCTCACTGCAACCTCCACCTCCCGGGTTCAACAGATTCTCCTGCCTCAGCCTCCCCAGTAGCTGGGATTACAGGCGTGCATGACCACGCCCCGCTGATTTTTTTGTATTTTTGGTAGAGATAGGGTTTTCCCACCTTGGCCAGGATGGTGTTGATCTCTTGACCTCGTGATCCTGCCACCTTGGCCTCCCAAAGTGCTGGGATTACACGTGTGAGCCACCACCCCCAGCTAAAAATACATGATTTCTATGTGAAAGTCCTGTCCACAGACCTACTTCTTCACTTCCTGCCCTCGTGGCAGAAAAATGTCCCTTTCCATGTTGGCCCAATTTTCCTTTTTGGGAATGGTTCCTGACACTCTCAATTTTTTTTTCTTCTTTTTTTTTTTTTGAGATGGAGTTTCATTCTTTCTGTGCAGGCTGGAGTGCAATGGTGTGATGCCTGCTCACTGCAGCCTCCACCCCCCAGGTTCAAGAGTCTCCTGCTTCAGCCTCCCAAGTAGCTGGAATAACAGGCATCCACCACCACGCCTGGCTAATTTTTTGTATTTTTAGTAGAGATGGGATTTCACCATGATGGCCAGGCTGGTCTCAAACTCCTGACCTCAGGTGATCCACCCACCTCGGCCTCACAGAGTGCCGGGATTACAGGCATGAGCCACCATGCCCAGCTGACTCTCTCAGTTTTCACAGCCTTGACAGATGTAAAGAGCGGAGATGATTCCACGCTGGATCTACTCAGCCTTTCCTTCTGAACAGGTGCAGACCCCGCATTGCCGGTAGGAACACCCTGGCCTGGTGCCGCGCTCTCAGTGCAGCCCACCTGGAGGATCTTTCATCTCCCACCTCCAATGGCGACCTCACTTGCTAATGTCAAAATATTTATTTACAGTCACAGATTCCATCCTGTCAAGCTCTGGATTTAAGTTTGCCAGTGGTTTCCCAAAGGCTTTAGAACCATGGCCTCCAGACCCTGAGTGCTCCTGCCTGCTGCCCTCTCCCATCCAGTCTGCTATAGCTGCCTGCAGTCCCACTTGTGGGGACACAGGCTCCCGGGTGTCTCAGCGCGGATTTTATATGTGTCCTTCCCGCCCATTCACCCAGTGGCCACCTTAGGTTTTTAAGACGTTGTCAAGACAGGTTCTTGAAGTCATAGCAGTTATGTTGTCTAAAAGTAGAACAGTTAATAATGTGATTTTTCTAAAGACAAGGAAATAATCCATTATTTATTAGATCACCTGTGAGATGACCCTCATTTTTTTGTTTTGTTTTTTTGATATGGAGTCTCCCTGTGTTGCTGAGACTGGAATGCAGTAGCACAATCTCTGTTCACCACAGCCTCTACCTCCTGGGTTCAAGCAATTCTCATGCCTCAGTCTCCTGAGTAGCTGCGACTACAGGCACCCACTGCCACACCCAGCTAATTTTTGCATTTTTAGTACAGATGGGGTTTCACTATGTTGGCCAGGCTGGTCTCAAACTCCTGACCTCGTGATCTACGTGTCTCAGTCTCTGAATGTGCTAGGATTACAGGCGTTAGCTAGCATGCCGAGCCTGTTTTTAACTTTTTAGGGGAATACCAAACTATGTTAAAAGTAGGATGCACCAGCTTATATTCCACATACATTATTTAAGGGTTGTAATTTCTCTCCAACCTTGCCAACACTTGTCATTTTACATTTCTTGGATCATAGCCTTTCCAGTGTGTGTGAAGGAGTTTGGCACTGTGGTTTCGGTTTAGATGGCCATAAGAATGGTATTGATAAGAATGGTGTGCTTTCCATTTGCATGTCTTACTGAAGGAGTGTGTGTTCAACTCTTCATTTTGTGAGTTTGTTGATTTCATTGATGAGTTATTCAGATTATACACTGAGGTTAGCAGACTGTTGTGAGATATGTAGTGCACAAATTCTTTCTGCGTGTCTTTTCACTTTCTTTCTTTCTTTTTTAAGATGGAGCCTTGCTCTGTCGACCAGGCTGGAGTGGAGTGGCACAATCTTGGCTCACTGCAACCTCTACCTCCCGGGTTCTCCTGCCTCAGCCTCCTGAGTAGCTGGGATTACAAGTGTGCATCACCACACCCTGCTAATTTTTGTATTTTTAGTAGAGATGGGGTTTCTCAATGTTGGTCAGGCTGGTCTCGAACTCCTGACCTCAGGTGATCCCGCCAGCTCAGCCTCCCAAAGTGCTGGGATTACACGTGTGAGCCACTGCACCCTGTCACTCCCAGGAATTTTGTTTTTCTTTCCCTTTTCTTTGAGATGGAATCGTGCTCTGTCGGCCAGGCTGGAGTGCTGTGGTCATATATAGGCTCATGGCAATCTCTGCCTTCTGAGTTCAAGCAATTATTCTGCCTCAGCCTCCCAAGTAGCTTGGAATACAGGTGCGTGCCACCATGCCCAGGTAATGTTTGTATTTTTAGTAGAGACGGGGTTTTGCCATGTTGGCCAAGTTGGTCTTGAACTCCTAACCTCAAGTGATTCTTCTACCTCAGCGTCCCAAAGTGTTGGGATTACAGGCGTTAGCTGCCATGCCCAGCCTTTCTTTTTTGAGACAGGGTGTTATGCTCTCGCCCAGGCTGGAGAGCAGTGGTGCGATCTCGGCTTACTGCAACCTCCACATTCTGGGTTTAGGCAGTTCTCCTGTCTCAGCGCCTCCGAAGAAGCTGGGACTACAGGTGTGTGCCACCATGCCTGGCTAATTTTTGTATTTCTAGTAGAGACGGGGTTCTGCTATGTGATCGTGGGTGGTCTTAAACTCCGGGACTGAACTCAAGTGATCCGCCTGTCTCGCCTTCCCCATGTGCTGGGATTACAGGCATTAGCTACTGTGCCTGGCCTATTTTTAACTTTTTGAGGAAATGCCAAACTATGTTAAAAGTAGGCTGCACCAGCTTATATTCCACACAGAGTATTTAAGGGTTGTAATTTCTCTCCAACCTTGCCAACACTTGTCATTTTACATTTCTTGGATCATAGCCTTTCCAGTGTGTGTGAAGGAGTGTGTCACTGGTTTCAGTTTAGATGACCATAATGAACACGGTATTGATCATCTTTTATGTGCTTTCCATTTGCATGTCTTACTGAAGGAGTGTGTGTTCAACTGTTTCTCCATTTTGTAATTCGGTTGTTTTTGTTGTTGAGTTATACAAATTATACGTTGTGGTTAACAGGCTGGTGTTAGATATGTAATGCACAAATACTTTCTTTCTGTGGGTTGTTTCTTCACTTTGTTTTCTTTTTTTGAGATGGAGTCTTGCTCGGTTGCCCAGGCTGGAGTGCAGTTGCGCAGTCTCGGCTCCCTGCAACCTCCACCTCCCAAGTTCAATCCTCCCACCTCAGCCTCCTCAGTAGCTAGGATTACAGGCAGGTGCCACCAACCTGGCTGTTTTTCTTTTTTGTACTTTTAGTAAAAGCGCGGTTTCACCGTGTTAGCCAGGCTGATCTCGAACTTCTAACCTCAAGTGATCCACTCACCTCGGCCTCCCAGAGTGCTCAGATTACAGGCATGAGCCGCTGCACCTGCTTTAGTATTTATTCTTCATACCATTTTCCACCTGATGTGCTGTCTGTGTTACTGGTTTATGGCTCGCCTGTCTCTCTCCCCCTCATTAGAATCACGGATCCATTCAGAGAGCAGAAACTTTGTTTTGTTCATTGCTGTTTCCCCAAAGCCTAGAATCCTGCCAGGGACATGATAACCAGGCAGTAGTTATTAGTGGAATGAACTAATGTAAGAACGAATGAATGGCCGGGTGCAATGGTGCATGCCTGTAGTCCCAGCACTTTGGGAGGCCGAGGCGGGCAGATTGCTTGAAGTCAGGAGTTCGAGACCAGCCTGGCCAACATGGTTAAACTCCATCTCTACTAAAAATACAAAACTTAGCCAGGCATGGTGGCAGGTGCCTGTACTCCCAGCTACACGGGAGGCTACGGCAAGGGAATCAACTGAACCCGGGAGGTGGAGGTTGGGCTGAGTCGAGATCATGCCACTGCACTCCAGCCTGGATGAAAGAGCAAGACTCTGTCTCAAAAATAAATAAAAATAATTTTAAAAAACAATGCATAGAGACAAGGCCTAGACAGAAGGAGTGATAGTAATCAATAGTACACAAGGGAAATCATTGCAAATGAGAATTTATTTAACGAGGATAGCTAGAAGAGAAGGATTGTCATGCTCCCAGTACAGAAAATAAATATTTGAGGTGATGACCAGCTCAGTTACCCTGAATGATCATCACATACCACCTACCTCAGGGGTCCCCACACCCCTGACCATGAATCAGTACCAGTCTGAGGCCTGTTAGGAACTGGACAGACAGCCCAGCAGGTGGGCAGTGGGCAGGCGTATGAGGCTTCACCGTCTTCACAGCCACGCCTTATTATTCACATCAGCACTTAAACTCCACCTCTAGATCAGTGGCAGCATTAGATTCTCATAGGAGGGCGAACCCTGCCATAAACAGCACATGCGGGGGTCTAGGCTGCATGCTGCTTTTTTTTTTTTTTGAGATGCAGTCTTGCTCTGTTGCCAGGCTGGAGTACAGTGGCACGTTCTTGGCTTACCGCAACCTCTGCTTTTGAGTTCAAGCGATTCTCCTGCCTCAGCCTCCTGAGTAGCTAGAATTACAGGCACATACCACCGTGCACAGCTAATTTTTGTGTTTTTTTTTTTTTAGTAGAGATGGAGTTTCACGATGTTAGCCAGGCTGGTCTCAAACTCCTGACCTCATGATCCACCTGCTTTGGCCTCCCAAAGTGCTAGGATTGCAGGCATGAGCCACCACGCCCTGCAGCTGCATGCTTCTTATGAAAATCTAATGCCTGATGATCTATCACAATCTCCCATTGCCCCCAGAGGGACCATCTAGTTTCAGCAAAACTAGCTCAGGCTCTCACTGATTCTGCATTATGGTGAGCTGTGTAAGTATTTCATTATATTTTACAATGGAATAATAATAGAAGCAGGCCAGGCACAATGGCTCATGCCTATCATCCCAGCACTTTGGGTGGGTGAGGCGGGAGGATAACCTGAGGTCAAGAGTTTGAGACCAGCCTGGCCAACATGATAAAACCCCATTTCTACTAAAAATAACAAAAAATGGCTGGGCGCGGTGGCTCACGCCTGTAATCCTAGCACTTTGGGAGGCCGAGGCGGGTGGATCACGAGGTCAAGAGATCAAGACCATCCTGGTCAACATGGTGAAACCCCGTCTCTACTCAAAATACAAAAAATGAGCTGGGCACGGTGGTGCAGGCCTGTAATCCCAGCTACTCAGGAGGCTGAGGCAGAAGAATTGCCTGAACCTAGGAGACGGAGGTTGTGGTGAGCCGAGATCACGCCATTGCACTCCAGCCTGGGAAACGAGTGAAACTTTGTCTCAAAAAAAAAAAAAAGATACAGAAAATCAGCCAGGTGTGGTGACAGGCACCTGTAATCCCAGCTACTCAGGAGGTTGAGGCAGGAGAATTGCTTGAACCCAGCAGGCAGAGGTTGCAGTGAGCCATGATCATGCCATTCCACTCCAGCCTAGGTGGCAAGAGCAAAACTCCATCTCAATAAATAATAATAATAGAAGTAAAGTGCACAATAAATGTAATGTGCTTGAATCATTCTGAAACCACCCCCTGCCCCCAGGTCCATGGAAAAGTTGTCTTCTACAAAACTGATCCCTGGTGCCAAAAAAGGTTGGGGACCACTGCTCTACAGGTCTCAAAATATCACCTGTGCCCCTTAAATAGGTACAACTCTTACATATCAATAAATACTAAAATAATAAAAATTCAAAGTTTTTAAAAAGTAGGACTGAAAAGTTACCATTGGATCACAGAATTAGGGAAATGAATGATGTCCTCGTTAAAGGTGGTCTCAGAAGTTGGACTCAAATGGATACAGAGAGTGAGCAGGAGACAGAGTAGCTTGGGAAGTGCAGGTAACTCCTCCAGGAAGTGTGCTGGGAAGGGGAGGATGGAGGGGATGCTGGCTTGGCAGTGAGTGCCTTTGAAGTTGAGCATGTCCCCAGGGGACTACACCTCACCCTGATGGACAGATGTGCCCCAACCTGCTCCTGCCTGGGCTCCCCAGTTTCACCCTGTAGATGCAGACATAGGACACTTTTCCTTTTGTGGCCACAGGGCATGAATCTCTCGGGCGAGAAGCAGCGGAGCCTCTCCCAGGCTATGTACAGGAAGGCAGCTGTGTACCTGCTCGATGACCCCCTGGTGGCTGTGGACGCCCACATCAGGCAGGTCAGCAGGCCTGGCGGGAACTCCAGGGAACAGTAAGTTTGGGAACATGTGTCAGAGGGCACAGAGCAAAGGCAGAGGATGCCCTTAGCATCCAGTCCTAACCCACATTTCTCTCACCGCCCCCTTCCACTTGAGTCCAGTTTTCCTCTTTGTATTGGTCAGTTTTTGCTGTGATGATGCTACATAACAACCCCTCAGATTCCATCCACTTACAACAGCAGCTGTTTCTTGCTTATGTGTCTGTGGTTTAACTACTACAGCTCTGCCTTGGATGATTGGCCCGGGTCAGGTGGACTCCCTGTCTTCTTGAGACAGGTGGAAGCAGTCCTCTCTGTTTCTCTATTTGGAAATGCTATTTTCAAGAAAGATGGCAGGAGCACAAGAAGGGAAGCTCTCCCCACTCTGAGTCCAGGGACAATACTCCCACCCCAACCCCCTGCTGCAGGAGGCTGGCCGTGCACATGTGTGTAACTTTTCTTACTTTCTTTCCCCTTCCCTTCCTTCCTCTTTCCCTTTCCCTCCCTCCCTCTTTCTCTCTCCCTTCCTTCCTTCTTTTTGACGGAGTCTTGTATCACCTAGGATGGAATGCAGTGGTGCAATTTGAGCTGACTGCAACCTCTGCCTCCCAGTTTCAAGTGATTCTTGTGCCTCAGTTTCCCAAGTAGCTGTGACTACAGGTGTGTGCCACCATACCTAGCTCATTTTAATATTTTTAGTAGAGACAGGGCTTAGCCATGTCGACCTGGTTGGTCTTGAACTCCTGGCCTCAAGTGATCCACCTGCCTTGGCCTCCCAAAGTGCTGGGATTACAGGCATGAGCCATGGAACGTGGCCACATGTGTGTTAACTTCTACCTTTTCCCTGCCCAGGCACAGATTCTCATGACCCACACACTCCACATCCTGCCCTAGGCTGATTGGATCGTGGTGCTGGCAGATGGGGCCATTGTAGAGATGGGATCCTACCAGGAGCTTCTGCACAAGAAGGGGGCCCTCATGAGTCTTCTGGATCAAGCCAGACAGCCAGGAGAGGAGAAGGAGGTACTAGGTGGGCTTTGCTGATTCTCCGTGCCTGGCTTTTGCCACCCTTGGGGAAAAAAGGCTCAAAGGGTCCTACTGGCAAGAGTGGCGTGCTCTGGTCACACCCTCCCTGCAGGCCCATGCCCAGAAGCGGATGGCTCTCCAATAGGTCACCTCTCTCCAGGAAGAGCCAGTAACACTATCTACAAGCCAGGGGCTATGCTAAGTGCTTCTGTAAAAAATACACCACTTCATTTGCTTCTCAGAGTGCCCTCAGAGGCATGTGAAGTTACTGCTGTCATTTTACAGATGAGCAAAGAGCGTTAAATTAGTTGCCCAAGGTCACCAGGTTTGAACCTGAGTGTGTCCAACTCCAGAGTCTATGCTTGCAGTTGCTATGGAGACAGCACAAGGTTTTGGTGCCTAGAAAGCTACAACATGCCAGCTAGAGTTTCTAATAATCCAAAGAACACAGAGTCCGCTGGATACGTGACAAGGTTCTGGAAGTAGAGTTGCCAAGCCAAGCTCACCCATAATGAAAAGTAGCAACTCGCAGCACATCACATGTATTAGCTCACTGAATCAACATGATGCCCTGTGGGGCTGGGACTAGAATCATTTCCATTTCACAGATGAGGAAACTGAGGCCCACAAGTTAAGGAACTAGTCCCAGATTACATGGCTTTTAAGTAGCAGCACTGGGATTTGCATCCAACCAACTTGATTCCAGACAATGTGTTTTTTAATTACTAGGCTTTTTACTATCCCTGCTTGACAGAGCAAGGACTCACCCAGGTCTCCCTCAAGCTCAGACTTTGTCTCTTCTGAGAACATCTGCTTAGGATTGGCCCACCCTGGCTAAAAACCCTAAGTGTTGATTCACAATGTCCCAGTCCTGAAGCTTGAAGCTAGAACTTGCCTGTTTGTATTGGTCAGCTTTTGCTGCAATGATGCTGTGTAACAAATAGCCCCCCAGCTCTCAGCAGCCAACGCTAGCAGTTATTTCTTGCTTACAGGTCTGTGGTTAAACTTCTACAGCTCTGCCTTCAGTTACTGGCCACATCTGGGGGATAGTGGTGGGGAGGTGTCCTTCCTGGGAGAGATGGCACCTGAGGGTAGGTGGGAGCGCAAAAAAGAGCAAGCCAGAAAAGAGCATTCCAGACACAAGGAACTTCTTGAGCAAGGCTGTCAGGAGAAACAGAGATAACTTTATACAGTGTTTCTCCTGACAGCTTTTCCAACCTGTGAATCAAGTTCACAGCAGGTGCTCAATTCACTGATGGAAAAACTGAATGAGAGTGAATGCCTGAATGATGTTCCTGGAAGAACTCAGAGTGGGGTGTTGAGGTTGCTGGAGAGGTGGCAGGAGCCAGAACAGGGAAAATGGATGGTCAGAGCAGTTAAGGCCACGTGGTCAGTGGGTTTCACTGAGTATCTGGACCATGTCGTGTGACAGGACTCTCTTGACCTTGCAGAAACAACCTGGGACCAGCACCAAGGACCCTAGAGACTCCTTTGCAGGCAGGAGGCCGAGCATAGACCTGAGAGGTGAGTCCACCATGGTGCCACACTCAGAAAGGCACAGGCTGGGGCTGATGTAGCTGTGTCTCGGGCAGTTAGGGGGCAACCAGCACCATTATGGATGGAGCACCTGCTGAAGTCCCCCCATGGCGCCCTGCTGAGGGATAATTCACCAAAATCGGTCCAGTTGGCCAAGATGATTAGTTCCCCATAGGGCCAGTTCATGGGATGAACAAGTGCCTTCCAGCGTGATGGATGTCTTCAAGGGGCCAAGCCAGCTTGCTGGAGTTGTCACAGTGCTGCAGTAGGGCAGGGCTGGTTCCAAAGAAAGACTCTCCCCTTAGTTGTTAACCACCATGCCAGGCCCAGTTATTTCTGCTTTGACAGGTGGGTTATGCGCAGGGCTTGGGTCTATACACACGGCCTCACTTGCTGTTGGCCAGAACACATGGACAAGAGGCCAGCAGGAGGCCTGCGGTCCCCATTTCACTCAGCTCCCTCCAGCTGGGACAGCTGAGCTCACCCTCTGAAGCAGAGGGACCTGCTGCCTGCTACTCTCCCCTCTTAATGAGCGGGATCTTAGGAAGCAGAACCACAAGCCACTGGTATCAGGTGCTTCGAGCTTAAGTGCCTTCTATACAGGGGTGCAGGGTAGCAAGGATCCTGAGGGGCCTCAGTCCCTGGGGATCACTGGGGCTGACCCCCATCCCAGCTAGCCACCCTAAGGACACTTCTCACATACAGACCAATCCCACGGTGTTCATAGCGCACAAGAATCCGAAGTAAGATCAGATGGATAGGTAGTCATGTTTGGAGAAAACCTTTAGATACATTAGGGCTAGGTGTGGTGGCTCACACCTGTAATCCCAGCACTGTGGGAGGCAGAGGCAGGTGGATCACCTGAGGTCAGGAGTTCGAGACCAGGCTGGCCAACATGGCCAAACACTGTCTCTATTAAAAGTACAAAAATTACCCAGCCTGGTGGTGCACGCCTGTAGCCCCAGCCACTCGGGAGGCTGAGGCACAAGAATTGCTTGAACCCACAAGGTGGAGGTTGCAGTGACCAGAGATTGTGCCACTGCACTCTGGCCTGGGCGACAGAGCAATACTCCATCTCAAAAATAATAATCATAACATCTGTCTGACTTAATGTGTCTAAAATTTTGTTTCATTCTGTTTTGTTTCTGAGACATAATCTCTTTCTATCCCTTAGACTGGAGTGCAGTGGCACGATACCGGCTCACTGCAACCTTTGCCTTCTGAGTTCAAGAGATTCTCGTGCCTTAGCCTTCCAAGTAGCTGGGACTATAGGCGTGCACAACCAGGCCCGGCTAATTTTTGTATTTTTAGTAGAGACAGGGTTTTGCCATGTTGGCCAGGCTGGTCTTGAACTCCTGAACTCTGGGGATCTGCCTGCCTCAGCCTCCCAAAGGGCTGGGATTACAGGCACAGGTCAAGGCACCTGGCTGACAGGTTAATTGAGTAAAGAGTGATCCACACATCATGCAGCCGCTGAACCAGAATATGGACAGAAAAAGGAAGGTAGAGGACAGAAAACAGAAGTGAGGTCAGAAACAGCCAGATTGGTTACAGCTCAGCGTTTGCTTTATTTGAACATGGTTTAAACAGTTGGCTACCTTTGATTGGCTGAAATACAGTGATTGACACATGAGTAGGCTGCAGTCTGTAGGAGTCCAGGTAATTTACAGTTCACTACGTATGGGAAAACTTTTAGGCCAAACCTAAAATATGTAAGGAGGCAGCTTTAGGCTAAACCGAATAGCAGGTAGGTAGACAAGTATATACAGATACACAGATATATAGATGGATGGATAGATATTATCCCATCTTGACAGCTGAGGAAACTGAGGTACAGAGTATTAAGTCAGCTCACTCATCCACAGATAAGACATTCAAAAAGTCTTCAACATCTGAATTGTGCATAATTTATATTCTGTTAGTTGGACTGACAAATCTGACGGTAAACAGTAGGGGCAAAACAGTTGCACCAAAGCTTAAGCCAAAATCAAAATTCTGAGAACAGGATGGGTGCACTGGCTTATGCCTGTAATCCCAGCACTTGGGGAGGCTGAGGTGGGCGGATTGCTTGAGCTCAGGAGTTTGAGACCAACCTGGGCAACATAGCATGACCCTGTCTCAAAAAAGAAAAAAATAAGAAAATTTTGAGAACAGAGTTCCAATGGTGGGCAAAGTAAGTTTATCCTGTGAAATGGCATCAGAAGAATGGGCTTGCTTGACTCTGGGGTAATAGATGGCAATTAGCTGGGTGCCACACAGGGAGAAGGGAAGTGTGATACCAGGTCAGTATTCTGTTGGATGGATGGATGAAAGACTGAATGAATGAAGAGTATACCCTGAGCTCAGTGGCTATCAGTGGGCCTGAGGGTTGGGCACATACACCCCACCACTGGGAGAGACACTGACTTCATCTTTATTTCCTCTAAACAGGTCCATCAAGTCAATCCTTGAGAAGGACCACACCGCTTCATTAGCCCAGAGAGGGATTCCTCTAGATGACCCTGACAGGACAGCATGGCCAACAGGAAAGGACAGCGTGCAATACAGCAGGGTAAGCACCAGCGTGGCCCACCCCTCCCCGCCCACTGCTGCCACCCCTAGGGGCCCAGATGTAGCAGTTGGCAGGGGGCAGTGGTGATACTCACCTTGAGTACCTACTATGTGCCAGTAGAATTCTAGACCTTCGTTTTCTTAATCCTCACAACCACTCTAAAATATAGATATGATAGCTCTATTTTAGACATACATAAAAAGTCTTTTAAAATTTACTTTATTTTTGAGAGAGTGGCTCAGACACTTACCCAGCCTGGACTGCAGTGATGTAATCACAGCTCACTTGCAGCCAAGTTAAAAGACTTGTCTGTGTCCTCATAGCTAGCCTGGCACTCAAATCTAGGCCAGTCCAGGTATGAAGCTTGTCCTGTTTCTCCCCTTCTATATGGCTACGTACCTCCACCCACCTACTTACCATCCCGTCATCCACCTAGGTGCTCATCCACCCACCCACTCATCTATCCATCCCACCCACCTACCCGTTTATCCAACCCATCCCTGTAACCCAGCGTTAGTAACAATACATCCCAACCACTCCCTCAACTACGCATCTCTTTAGCTGTTACTCATTCACCCACATACCCACCTACCCACCCACCCCCTCGTTCATCCAGCAAACACATACACAATGCCCACTATGTGCCAGGCTAAATCTGGTGCAGCTATGGATACTAGTGAGGATAGACAGAGTAAATAATTAGGCTGATAAACAAGCTATGTCTGACAACAATAAGTGCTATAAAGTAAGAATGGCCAGGTATGGTGGCTCACACCTGTAATCCCAGCACTTTAGGAGGCCGAGGCGGGTGGATCACAAAGTCAGCATTTTGAGACCAGCCTGGCCAACATAATGAAACCCTGTCTCTACTAAAAAGACAAAAGAAATTAGCTGGGCGTGTTAGTGGGCGCCTGTAATCCCAGCCACTTGCGAGGCTGAAGTAGGAGAATCACTTGAACCCAGGAGGTAAAGGTTGCAGTGAGCCAAGATTGTGCCATTGCACTCCAGCCTGGCACAATGGCTCCAAAGTGGTAAGTGCTTTAGGGTGCCAGAGAAAGGGGTCCCATGAGGCTGGCAGGCAGTGAGTGGGGGCGAGATAAGAATCTCGGAATTTCTGTTTCTTTGTTTTGAGATGGACTTTTACTCTTGTCACCCAGGGTGCAGTGCAATAGCACAGTCTCGGCTCACTACAACCTCTGTCTCCCATGTCACCCGGGCAGGAGTACACTGGCACAATCATGGCTAACTGCAGGCTTGAACTCCTAGGTTCAAGTAATCTCCCAAACAGCTGGGACCATGGGTTTAACAAAACCATGCCTTGTTAATTTTCCTATTTTTAAAGAGATGGAGTCTTGTTTCCCAGGCTGATCTCAAACTTCTGGCCTCAAGCGATCCTCCCTCCTTGGCCTCCCAAAGTGCTTGGATTACAGGTGTGAGCCACCACACCCATCCAGAAGGGTTTTCTTGAACACCCGCCATGTGTCAGGCATGCTCATAATAACCTCCATTTCACAGATAAGGAAGCTGAGGCACAGAGAGGTTCGGCCACTGGTTTAGGGTCCTGCTGCTACAAATCTGAAGTTCGTGCACAGTTGCGGCCAGTCAGGACTATTGAAAACATCCATCTAATCCTATCTTGTCACTTGCCTGTCCATGGCTATCTCTTGCTCTTAGAACAAATTCCAGCCAGGTAGGTGACTCACACCTGTAATCCCAGCACTTTGGGAGGCCAAGGCGGGCATATCACCTAAGGTCAGGAGTTTGAGGCCACCCTAGACCAACACAGTGAAACCCCATCTCTACCAAAAATACAAAAATCAGCGAGGTGTGGTGGTGGGTACCTGTAATTCCAGCTACTTGGGAGGCTGAGACAGGAGAATTGCTTGAATCTGGGAGGCAGAGGTTGCAGTGAGCCGACATCACGCCACTGCAGTCCAGCCTGGGTGAGACTGTCTCACAAAAGAAAAAAAAATTATGAATACTAACTCACTGGGGATCGTATAGGAGATGAGGGTTCTCAGGCTAGCCAGGGCCTGTTGGGGAGATGGAGCTCCTGGTGGGAGGAACAGAGGGAGAACCCATGGTGTCTTTGTGGTGGTTCCCTCTGCCCATTGGCTTGTTTTCTGAGAGCTTTGCCTGGCCCTGCCTCAACTCACCCCTCCTTCCAGGGGCGCTCTCTGCCTCCCTCTCCCTCCTGTGTGCTACAGGTGAAGGCTGCAGTGCACCTGGCCTACCTGTGGCCCATGGAAACCCACCTTCTGCCTCTATGCGCTCTTCCTTTTATTCTGCCAACAAGTGGCCTACTTCTGCCAGGGCTGCTGGCTGAGCCTGTGGGCAGACAGCCCTGCAGTGGGTGGGCAGCAGACACAGGCAGCTTCTCAAAGTGTGGCCCCAGGGGACTAGGGCAGTCTCACCTTGGGACTAGTTAGCAGTGTACACTCATAGGCCCTAGCCCAGGCCTACTGACTCAGACACTATGTAGGTCAGCCCATGAATCTAGGTTTTAATTAACCCTCGAAGTAATTCTGATGCACACGAATGTTTAGAAACCACTGGCTTACCTCTTTTACCAGGGCAGGTCTGATGGCCACTAGCCATCATATCATCTCACTTTAGCAATTCAACATGTAAAATGTTTCTCCAGCTCATTAGTCATATATTAATCCCAGAGAAGGTTCTGATTGGCCGTTTGTGGCTGCTGTATGCATCTCTGAACTCATCACAGTAACTGAATGAATAGTAGACTCTGATAGACTAGGCTGTGTCATATGACCACCTCTCTGATCAGGTCCCATGATTGACAGTACCCCAACCCAGCCCCTTCCCACAGGAAACCAGAAGAATAGAAGAAAACACGGTAGTCAGATAAAAACCCTGGCTAGGGCTGGGCGTGCTGTCTTACATCCGTAATCTCAGCACTATGGGAGGCTGAGGCAGGCAGATCATGATGTCATTAGTTTAAGACCAGCCTGACCAACATGGTGAAACCCCATGTCTGCTAAAAGTACAAAAATCAGTTGGGCATGGTAGTGCGTGCCTGTAGTCCCAGCTATTCGGGAGGCTGAGGCAGAACTGTTTCAACCCAGGAGGTGGAAGTTGCAGTGAGCCAAGACTGCACCACTGCACTCCAGCCTGAGTTATAGAGCAAGACTCCATCTCAAAAAAAAAAAAAAAAAACCAACCTGGTACCATCCAGTATGAAGAGAGGAGCCACCCACGGGGTCTGTCACTAGGAATAGGGACAGTGTTGAATGAATGACTTAATGAGCCAGTGAGTAAGGCAAACTCCCAAAGTCCAGAGGCCACTGTGCCAGGGGCATCACCTTGCATAGTCTATGGTGGTGTTGAGCCACTGGGCAATGGTGAAGACACTGCATCCTTTGAACTGCATCCGGATGGTGGACTGAATGAGGTTACCCATTTCCAGGTCCACGGCCGCTGTGGCCTCATCCAACACAAGGATCCAAGGATCTTCATCTTGCTCAGCAGGGCCCGAGCCAGCACACAAGCTGGTGCTGCCTGACACTTTACTGGAAGAAAAAGACCAGTAGTAGACAGTGTTGGGTCAAACCACCCCGACCCTGAACCTAGGCACAGGCTGGGAGAAGTGAGACAAGACACTCTGTGGTCCTTGACCAGAAAAGCCCATCCACTCCCAACATCTGTGCCTGCAGCAGACATCACTGGTCAATCTGAACACATCTATTCAGCAAGATGCAGGTTCATAATCATCTCAAAACAGTGGCTCACACCTACAAACCCAGCACTTTGGTGGCTGAGGTGGGAGGATTGCTTGCAGCCAGGAGTTTGAGACCAGCCTGGGAAACAAAACAAGACCTCTGTCTTTCCAAAAAACAAAAGTAAAAAAATTTGTTGGATGTGGTGGCACACTTCTGTAGTCTCAGTTACTCGGGAGGCTGAGGCAGGAGGATTGCTTGAGTCCATGAGTTTGAGGCTGAGCTCGAGCCACTGTACTCCAGCCTAGGCAACAGACGGAGACCCTGTCTCTTAAAAAAAAGAGCCAGACACAGTGGCTCACACCTGTAACCCAGCACTCTGAGGCCAAGGCAGGTGGATCACTTGAGGCCAGGAGTTCAAGACCAATCTGGCCAATGTGGTGATACTCCATCTCTACTAAAAATGCAAAAATTAGCTGGGTGTGGTGGTGGGCACATGTCATCCTAGCTACTTGGGAGGCAGAGGCAGGACAATTGCTTGAGCCTGGGGGTGGAGTTTGCAGCTGAGATTGCGCCACTGCACTCCAGCCTGGGTGACAGAGACCCTGCCTCAAAAACAAAAAAAGGCCTCATATCCATGCATCTCTATCCAACTGTGGGGCCATGACAGTTGCCTCTGCACGCAGACATGTACCTTGTTTTGGCCAATGGGACACCAGCAAACATAAGGCCAGCCAAAAGAATACTGCGAGATGCACATGGGACTTTATACGCTCTTGTGCCCTTGTCATCGCCATGACCACATGCCCAAGAAGGTCAGGTCTGCTGGAGAATGAGGAATGCACACATACCCTTCTTGTCCCACCTGAGGCCAAGTAGATCAGCCGACAGCCTGCTGATCCCAAGACATGATGTGAGCCCAGCCGAGATCAGCAGAGCCACCTGCCTGACTGCCCTCGCAAGGGAGCAGAGATCACTGCTTTGTTTGAATGTGACTGAGACTTTGTGATTGGTTGTCATGGAGATGGATAACCAAACCAGAACCAGGTACCCACAAAGAAGACCAGAGTTGGACCCCAGAGGTGCCCCTGCTGTGCCAGGCATTAATGCTCTAGTTACTGAGTCATGGACAGATCTCCAGTAGTTGGGAGAAGAACCAAGACAGCTGGGGACTTGGGGGGCTCAGAGCAGTGCTAGTGACCAACTGATACAGAAGCCTTTCTCTAGCTTAACAATTGATGGCCACGGTCAACTGAATGGAGCTGGTGTGTATAAAAGGAAATGCATTGTCCATCTGGTTATTATACCTCCTGGTACAAAGAGCCTGCAATTAGACCCATTTTACAGATACAGAAACTGAGGCTCCAAAAGCTGAAGGGACAAATGGGACATCAGCACAACTGGGACTCAAATCCAGGTCTGACACATCTGGGCAGAATATTGAAACACCCCTACTGAGGTAGCACCTAGGAGACCTTGAGTCTACCCCCGCCTACCTGAGGTTCTCTCCACCTTCTGCGCACTCACGGTCCAGCCTATCAGGAAGGGCTGATGCGAAGTCCTTCAGGTGAGCCAGCTCCAGGGACGTCCAGACTATCTGAGTACTGGCTGAACGGGTCCAGCTTCATGCAGAAGGAACGCGAAAGCAAAACAGGGTCCTGTTCGGAGAAAAGAGAGTGGTGGCATGTGATGCCTACGTCACGCTGACATGCATGAAGAGGTGAGTCACAAGGACTTCTGGCCAGGACTGGTGAAGGTGGGGTTTCAGAGCTCCTCAGAATCACTGTTTCTGGTGATGTTAATAATGCAGAAAAAGGCCAGGTACAGTGGCTCATGCCTATAATCCCAGCACTTTGGGAGGCCAAGGTGGGCACTTCACTTAAGGTCAGGAGTTTGAGACCAGCCTGGCCAACATGGCAAAACCCGGTCTCTACTAAAAATACAAAAATTAGCCGGGTGTGGTGGCATACACCTCTAGTCCCAGCTACTCGGGAGGCTGAGGCAGGAGAATCACTTGAACCCAAGAGGTAGTGGCTGCACGAGCTGAGATCAGGCCACTGCACTCCACTCTGGGTGACAGAGCAAGACTGCTCCCCCCTCCAAAATAAATTCCTTAATAACGGGAAAAAAAGTCTGGAAAATCCGAGTCTGGCAGAATAAGACAGATTTCCTTTCCATACAACGTCCTTGAGGCTTCAATATGCACATGGGTTGAGAACCTTACAGAATTGAGAGGTAAATCCTCATGGTAAAGTCCTGTGGATTTCTGTCCTCCAGAGATTAATCTAGAAAATCCTTATTTTGGTCAGGGATGTTGGCTCACCCCTGTAATCCCAGCACTGTGTGTGGGAGGCTGAGGCAGGCAGATCACTTGAGATTAGGAGTTTGAAAACCAGCCTGTGTAACATGGTGAAACCCCGTCTCTACTACAAATACCAGAACTAGCCAGGCATGGTGGTGTGCACCTGTAATCCCAGCTACTTGGGAGGCTGAGGCAGGAGAATCACTTGAACTCAGGAGGCAGAGATTGCAGTGACCCGAGATCGCACCACTTCACTCCATCCTGGGACACGTAGTGAGACTCTGGGAGGCTCAATTTAAAAAAAAAAATACTTTTTCTTACCAAACACTGCATGTTCTCACCTTTAAGTGGTAGCTGAACTCTGGGTGTTCGTGGATGTAAAGATGGGAACAACAGAACGGGAGCATCCAAAAGTAAGGAGAGATGGAGGAGGGGAATGGCTGAGAAACTCACTCTCGGGTGCTCTGTTCAGTATTAGGGTGATGAGATCCACAGAAGCCCAAGGGCCAACATTACACAGGTGCCCGTGTAACAAGCCCGCATGTGCGCCCCGTGATCTAAAATTCAAAAGAAAACATTCTTATTTCTTGTCTAGCTCTTAGAAGGGCTAGAGATTCTCAGTCTGACTCTGACAAGAGAGAGAGAAGACAGTGTCCTTTTGGATTTTTCTGGATGCTCAGAAAACTACCACTTGCAGGGAAAGGAAGTCGGGAGTGATACTCAGTGATTTTCCACATTGTTAATTCTAAGAGGAAATTCAGGGAAGCAGCAGCATAGCCTAATCAATAAGAATAATGAAGGCCAGGTGTGGTGGCTCACACTTGTAATAATCCCAGCACTTGGGAGGCCAAGGTGGGCAGATCGTTTGAGCCCAGGAGTTTAAGAGCAGCCTGGACAACATGGTGAAACCCCATCTCCTCTTAAAAAAAAAATTAATTAACTGGGTGTGGTGGCATGTGCCTGTAGTCCCAGCTACTCAGGAGGCTGGCTTAGGAGAATCGCTTGAGCCTGGGAGGCAGAGGTTGCAGTGAGCTGAATTGCATGGAGACGGACTTCAGGGGAAAAAAGACCCTGTTTCAGGAAGAAAAAAAATGAAGTAGGGCCACAAGTATGTTTGTCCCCAAACTAAACATACATCACTGTTAGTGCAGTCATAGGGCATGCCACCCCTGGCTCACCTCTTGGGTAGCACCCAGACCCCATCTGGGGGATGAAATCTTGAAGCAGAGGTTGTGCAGGCCGATCTTGGCAATGGTGATGTCATCGATGATGATCGTTCCTTCGGCAAACTCGTTGATCCGAACGAAGCCCAGGGTCAGGGACGACTTCCCTGCCCCCGTCCGCCCCATGATGCCAACCTGGAGGATAGAAGGGACCGGGTGTGGTGGGAATGCTGGCATCTGGACTTAGCCCTGCCCCACAGTGCCCTTATCTCTGCCCTACCTCAGGCATTGGTCATCTCGTCAACGCAACTCCACACCCCGTCCCTCACCCACTGCCCAGAGACACTCCTTTAAGGGTGTTTGGCCAAGGGTCAAGAAGGACTCTCTTCCCTTTGCCAGGCTCCCAAAAGGAATTCCTCAGCTTTTTATAGGTTACTAGAGACCTCAAAGGAGACACATAAGAGGCAGAAGGAATTTCCAACAAAGCCCTATTTGTTTCGACTCAGTAACTATTTACTAATAATTAGGCATTTCCTCATTTCTCCACACGGTTTTTCACACCTCCGATGGCGAGTTTCCCCTCATCAGCTGTTGAAATACCTGAAAGATTCAAGCAGATCTTCAGTGCCCTTTGCCATGACCTGGTCTCCACACGTCCTCGTTTGAAGGAACTAAGTTCTCCAGTTGATGGCCGATAATGATATTCCTCATCTCCAATTTTCCCTGGGTGTCACAGAGCAGCATACGTACAGAAATTCTCATGACATAACATAAGCCATGAAGACTTAGCAAGGGCCAGGCACAGTGGCTCATGCCTATAATCCCAGCACTTTAGGAGGCCAAAGCGGGTGGATCGCCTGAGTCAGGAGTTTAAAACCAGCCTGGCCAACACGGTGAAATCCTGTCTCTACTAAAAATACAAAAATTAGCCAGGCGTGGTGGCATGTACCTGTAGTCCCAGATACTCAGGAGACTGAAGCAGGAGAATCACTTGAACCCGGGGGATGGAGGTTGCAATGAGCTGAGATGATGCCACTGCACTCCGGCTTGGGCAGCAGAGTAAGACTCTGTCTCAGAAACCACCCCCCCACCCCGCCCGGAAAAAAAAAAAACTTCCAGGGGCCAGGCATGGTGGCTGACTCCTATAATCCCAGCACTTTGGGAGTCTGAGGTGGGCAGATCACTTGAACTCGAGTTGCAGACCAGCCTGGGCAACATAATGAGATCCCATCTCTACAGAAAATACAAAAATGAGCCAGGCATGTGGCACACGCCTGTAGTCTGAACCACTTGTAGTCCCCCCACTTGGGAAGCTGCAGTTGCAGTGGGCTGAGATCACACCACTGCACTCTAGCCTGGGCGAGAGAGTGAGAGCCTGTCTCAAAAAAAAAAAAAAAAAACTTCCAAAACATATCTGTGGGGCTCATTTGGTCTCTGGGCTATCAGTTCACTTAAGCTTTCACTTCTACAAGTTGGATGCGCTCTAACGACTTTCACTGCCACAATCTACTCCCAACCCCTGCAGCAGCCATTCAGGTGGAAATGTGGAGCTGTGAGTGACAGGGCAGACGCCGCAGCTAGGTTCATCCACCTCGTGGCACCCTGTACCCGACTTGGGAATGGGGTGGTGATGTGTACCCACCTTTTCTCCCCCATTGATGTGCCTGAGAACAAAATCCAGGTCTTCTTGGTAGCACCGGCAGTAGTTCCAGAATTCCACTCGGCCCACCTGGAGCCAGCTGCTGGGCAGAGCTGTTTCCTGGATTTGCCAGGGTGCCTTGAATCACAGCAGAGGGAGAAAGTAAGGAATTCCCAGTCCATCCTAGAAAGCTGTGACTCCCCCAACCTCCCCTCCCTCTCACTCACTCTGCTGCCCAAGGTGACCTCCCAGGCCTTAGCACTGGGGGTTTGCTCTTCCCTGTATGACCCCCCTCACATCCTGCGGATCTGTGATCGATGCGGAGGGCTCTCATCCCTCTGTCCCCTCCCACGCTGTCTTCTCCTTTAGAGTACTGCCCGCCTCCAGCCCTCTCAGGGCTCGTATACTCGAGTGTATTCTGTCTCCCACACACTGCACCTCCACTCAGTGAGGACAGGCTCTAATTGTTCACCACTATATCCCAGGGCTCAGAGCACATAGTAGGTGCTCAATAAATATGGACCTAAGAGTGACACAGTTGCTAACAGGGTGAACCAGTGGTAGAAGACACAGAGACTCAGGGAACATCATCATCTCTCAGTAGGTCAGCGAAACCCTTTGTGAAGCTGTCATCTCTCTGTAATAGACAATGGCTGACTAGACCATAGTTCACTTTTGTCTGCCAGAATTGATCTAATGTTCATGTTCACCTTTCTCTTAAAATAACTGTACAACTGACTTGTATCAAAATGGTTCTTTTTATTTTTGTGAAACGGAGTCTCACTCTGTTACCCAGGCTGGAGTGCAGTGGCGTGATCTCAGCTCACTGCAACCTCTGCCTCCCCGGTTCAGGTGATTCTCCTGCCTCAGCCTCCCGAGTAGCTGGGATTACAGGTGCCTGCCACCACGCCCAGCTAATTTTTGTATTTTTAGTAGAGACAGGGTTTCACCATATTGGCTAGGCTGGTCTTGGACTCCTGACTTCATGACCCGCCCACCTTAGCCTCCCAAAGTGCTGGGATTACAGGCGTGAGCCATGGCGCCCGGCCACAGATACTGTTCTTAATATGAACGTAGTAAAACATTTTTAAAATGTTTTCTAACAAAATATAAATGTTGCCCCCAGATTTTTTTAACGTCAAGGAAATGAATAACAGCTTGTCAGAGACTTCCTATAGAAACAGTTTTTTAGATAACTGTCATTAGGTTGGATAAGGCAGTAATTTTGAAATAGCCAGCAGTAGTACATCTTACCCATGTCTTTAGGCTGATGCCAAGTTTTAAGGGTACAGACAACACTGATGTTTTTATGCACAGACTGCTCTAGGTATTTGAGGAACACAATACAGAGATTTTAAATGATTCTGTAAAATCCGCACTGTTCTGTTTCTCTAAAGTGTTTGTGATTTGTTCCTCACGCTGCAGTGAGTGAAAAACAAGAAAACAGTAACCTAAACCTTGCGGTATGTTTCAATGTTGGGTGAATTTTTCTTTTTAGACACCAATAGAACTTATTTGTCTGATTAAAACAAATTTAAAAATAAATATTTATGGATGGAGTCAATGAAATGAGTGGTCTTCTCTGGACAGGCACAAGAATAAAAGTGAGTTACCTGGCTGCCCGCCCCGGCGGGAAGGCAAGGATAAAAGTGGGGACCATATCTCAGTGCCTCGTCATCCTCACAGCAATCCCATGTGGAGGGTCCTTCAGTTATCCCCAGTTTACACACAAGGGGACTGAGACAGAGAGGGGAGGTAGCTTGCCGAGGGAAACGCAACTCTGCTTCTGAAAAGCAGTCCAGTTCAGCATTTCCTGAGGCCCACAGCTGGATGTGGCATGTGCCAGGTTCAGTGGTTTTAGCCTCAGAGAATGCACATCCCTCCAGGGCACACAGGTGGGGAACTAGGCTGGTGAGCACATGGCCAAGCTCAGGAGCACGGCGGAGGGAATGTAACAAGAAAACATCGGGCACCTTTTAGGCAAGACACTCAGCCCTTTTGTGGATGTGCTATAAAATAACTGTTGCCTGGCATGGTGGCTCATGCCTGTAACCCCAGCAGTTTGGGAGGTGGAGGTGGGAAGATCACTTGAGGTCAGGGGTTCAAGACCAGCCTGACCAACATGCTGAAACTCTGTCTCTACTAAAAACACAAAAATTAGCTGGGCATGGTGGCAGGAGCCTGTAATCCCAGCTATTTGGTAGGCTGAGGCAAGAGGATCACTAGAACCCGAGAGGCAGAGGTTGCAGTGAGCCATGAGCATGCCAGTGCACTCCAGCCTGGGTGACAGAGAGTCTCTCTCAAAACACACACACACACACACAGTTTTTTATTTCGTGGAGACGTCTCACCATGTTGATGGTGAGATGGTCTTGAACTTCTGAGCTCAAGTGATCCACCTGCCTCAGTCTCCCAAAAGTGCTGGCATTACAGACATGAGTCACCGCACCCATCCAAAAAGTAAGTGTTATTACTGAGCACTTAGAGTGCAACTAATGCAAGTTGCTCTGCTCAGCACTTGAGACCCATGATCTCATCGGAGTCTCACAGCAGCCCTTAGAGGCAGTGACTATCATTATATACGGATGCAAAGCTGCCTCAGGGTTCCAGAAAAGGTGAGGCCTCACAGGATAACATGTAGACCCCACTTATGTTGAAAGAAAAAGAAACAAGGAAACAAATGTGTGAGGTATGTGGGAATCCCACAGAACAGGGAAGTTCTGGAGGAAATACACCTAAAAGCTAATGGGGCCTCTCGGTGGGAACAAGAGGAACGGGGTGAACAGGAACCAACTTTCATTCTCCCTTATAAAGTTCTTGTGTGTGTGTGTGTTTTTGTTTTTTTTTTTTTTTTAAGATGGAGTCGCTCTGTTGCCCAGGCTGGAGTACAGTGATGTAATCTCAGCTCACTGTAACTTCCGCCTTCCAGGTTCCACCGATCCGCCCACCTCAGCCTCGTGAGTAGCTGGGATCATAGGTGTACACACCACACCTGGCTAATGTTTGTATTTTTAGTAGAGATGGGGTTCACCATGTTGGCCAGGCTAATCTCGAACTCCTGGCCTCAAGTGATCTACTCACCTTGGCCTCTCAAAGTGATGGGATTACAGGTGTGGGCCACCGTGCCCAGCTGTGTATTGATTTTGTTTTAAACAAGCATATCTCTAATTTATGTACATCATTGAAGGGGATATGCTAGGACAGCACAGTGGGGGGAATGGAGAGAAGCACGTGGAACTTTCTATCTATATATAAAAACATATGTATATACAGACAGAACAGTGGTAGTAAGGGCAATTACTTTCTCTTGTGATTGTCAGATACACTCCTTCTAAAAATATGAAAGTAAATCAAAAGTAAAATGCTTTTAAAAACAGAATTCGTGCCAGGCGTGGTGGCTCACGCCTGTGATTCCAGCACTGTGAGAGGCCAAGGTGGGCAGATCACAAGGTCAGGAATTCAAGATGAGCCTGGCCAACATGGTGAAACCCCATCTTTACTAAAAATAGAAAAATTAGCTGTGCAAGGTGGCGCGCACCTGTAGTCCCAACAATTCAGGAGGCTGAGAATCGCTTGAACCCAGGAGATGGAGATTGCAGTGAGCTAAGATTGCGCCACAGCAATCCCGCCTGCTGACAGAGCGAGACTCGGTCTCAAAAAAAAGAAAACAAACAATTCAATCAAACTGCACGGTTTAACTGGGTGAACTGCATGGCATGTGAAATTCATGTTAATAAGGCCATTATAAGAACCAATAAAATAGCTGCGTGGGCTGGTGGGTACCTGTAATTCCAGCCTTCAGCCTGGATAAGAAAAAACAAAATTCCGTCTCAAAACAAAAATAAAAAACTAATGAAATACCTGTAAATGAATTCAGTGTCAAGTTGGAAGCTGCCAGTGTAATGCACCCTCGGTTCCTCAGGGGGGCACTCACGCCATTCTTACAATGCTCAGCGGTACCATGGGACCTGCTTCACCCAGAATGTTAGAGGAGTGGGCAGAGGTCACCTCTGTGAATTCCTGGGGAGGACAGAACTTACCAGAGGCCTTGGTGTCACTCCCAAGGGGCATTTCCTCAGGAGGCAGTGTAGTATGACTCCCATGGCACTGGAGAGGGTCTCCGAGGAGGCGCAGGCTCAAAGCCTAGGTCTGCTATTTACCAGCCATGTGATCTTGGACAAGTAACTTCACTTTTCTGTTTCCTCGCCTGTAAAATGGTGGTAATCAAAATTATCGAAATTATCAAACTGGGCCGAGCACAATAGCTCCCGCTTGTAATTCCAGCACTTTGGGAGGACAGGAGGATCACTTGAGCTCAGGAGATTGAGACCAGCCTGGGCAACGTGGCAAATCCCCATCTCTACTAAAACTACAAAAGCCAGCTGGCTGTGATGACGTGTGCCTGTGGTCCCAGACACTCAGGACGCAGAGTAGGAGAATCACTTGAGCCTGGGAGGCAGTGAGTGAGATCACACTACACTCCAGCCTGGGCAAGACTGAGACCATGTCTCAAAAATCAATCACAGGGTGAGGTAAAGACTGACTGCCTTATTCTGTGTTAAGCATTTAGGTCTGGGCCTGACATACTACAAGGCACAGTGCCTGTCTCTGTTATCATTACTTGCGTGTGTGTGTGGGGTAGTGGGGGGTCACCAGGCATCACTGTGACTGTTATCACTGTTGTTTCTACTCGTGCTGCTGTTCAGGGCCTAAGAAGGCAGTTATTAAGGACAATGTGACATCAAAGTCTGGAGACAAGGGTCCCAGATGTTCTACCACGCCACATGGGACCTTGAAGCCACCATCCCTCCCCAGGCTCCCTTTTTCTCCATCTATAAAAAGAAGACTGGGGTTAATGACTGCAGGTTTCCCAGACTTGGTTCAGTTCCCGACTGCATCGTTTGTGTAGTATGCAGGCACCGATTCTCTTGTTTGAATACACTTAATCAACTCACTTATGCCTCATTTCTCAGCTTACTTCAGAGGATAATTTATTACAATCGCAAATGGAAAAGTACTATTTTCCATAACAGGAGTCTCCCATACAACTACATAACAGACAGGCCGGGCACGGTGGCTCACACCTGTAATCCCAGCACTTAGGGAGGCTGAGGTGGGTGGATCACCTGAGGTAAGGAGTTCAAGACCAGCCTGGCCAACCTGGTAAACCCCATCTCTACTAAAAATACAAAACTTAGCCAGGCATGATAGCTGGCGCCTGTAATCCCAGCTAATCGGGAGGTTGAGGCAGGAGAATTACCTGAACCTGGGAAGTGGAGGTTACAATGAGCTGAGATCGTGCCACGGCACTCCAGCCTGGATGACAGTGACACACCATCTCTCTCTTTTTTTTTTTGACATGAAGTCTTGCTGTGTTGCCCATGCTAGATTTCCGTGGCATGATCTCGGCTCACTGCAACTTCTGCCTCCTGGGTCAAGCGATTCTCCTGCCTCAGCCTCCCGAGTAGCTGGGATTACAGTTTGCACCACCACACCAGGCTAATTTTTGTAGTTTTAGCAGAGAAGGGGCTTCACCATTTTAGCCAGGCTTGTCTTGAACTCCTGACCTTGTAATCCACACACCTCGACCTCCCAGAGTGTTGGGATTACAGGTGTGAGCCACTGAGCCCAGCCAAGACTCCATCTTAAAAAAAACAAAACAAAACAAAAAAACCACCAAATACATAACAAGTAACAGAAGGTTATTTTTGACAGAAGACAGAGGCTGTCCTGTTGAGGGCTCCAAGTGTGAAGGCTGCTATTTATCCATCTGTCAAAGGGAGATCATCTCAATTGCTAAGATGTTAAAGACCTGCTAGCACCAAACTCAGACCTTCTCTGTGATACCATCAAAAGGTATGAAAGAATTGGAGGGAAACATCTTCAGAAGGTAAAGTGAACACCTTCTGAATGCTCTGCCAGCATCCCACAGTCTTGTATGCGGATACCCCAGATCTTGGGGAAAGCTGGTCAACTATTCTCACCCTAAAACCAGGCTCTAAGTAAGTGCTGCCAAAAGACTGGACGAGCGTAAGATGCACTTGTACCTGATGGGTATCCAGCTCTCTCCTGCTGAGAGGCGGAGGGTGCACAGGATGGGGCTCAGAGATGTCCTTGGTATAAAGCGACAGCACAGACCCAGAGGTCAGGCCAGGGCCGTCGCCTGCCTCCCTCTCAGGTTCTGAATACTCCTCGAGTCTCTCCATGGCCACAATGTCGGTTTCCATCTCAGATGACATCCGAACCAGCCAGTTCGAGTACACGGTGACCTGCAAGGGGAAGAATCACGTGGCATTTCTAGAGTGAGCAGGCGTACTTTATTTTCCCATGTTTCTTTTTCTTTTAAATAAGATAACAGGAAACAAATTATTTTCAATAAGAATGAATCATGGGAGGCCAAGGCAGGTGGATCACCTGAGGTCAGGAGTTTGAGACCAGCCTGGCCAACATGGCAGAACACATCTCTACTTAAAATACAAAAATTAGCTGGGCGTCGTGATGCACACTTGTAATCTCAACTATTTGGGAGGCTGAGGCAAGAGAATAGCTTGAACCTAGGAGGTAGACCTTGCAGTGAGCTGAGATTTTGCCACTGCACTCCAGCCTGGGTAACGGATTGACACTCTGTCTCCCTCCCCCGCAAAAAACAGTGATGAATTATGAAACATTCAGGTAAGAATGGTATAGAAATGAGCAACCCAGGCGTAGCCATCACCCAGGCCTGCCACACTGCCATCTCCAAGGCATATACCACATTTCCACAATAACCTATGGGCCACATAAGTCATCAGAAAGGAGACTGGAAAATATTGTGAACCAGGTGACAATATAAAAACACAGTGTATTACCATTTGTGAGATGCAGCTCAAGCAGTGCTTAGAGGGAAATTCATAGTTTTAAAAGCATTCCCCTTGTATCTGGAAGTATCTTCTTGGACCATCAAGGAATGTCTTTGATGGGGAAAATCCTGGCAACATGTCAAATTCCTCTCCATTCTAGTTGGTCACCAGGCATCGTATCCACTCCTCAAACTCCAGGCCTCTCCCTTTCCTCTCCCCCATTCCTGGAGTTGGAATCAAAAGCAAAGCACAACTGGCTCCCCCATTAACACATATTAACAATCCAGCCACGAGCATCCCCTCTTACCTGCAATGAGTAAGACACTGAGAGGCCCGCCAAGCCAGTGCTGAGGCTGTGCCTGGAGATCACTGCAAACAGGGCAGCAAACAGGACAGTGCAGTTACCCACACACTCCAGACGCACAGCCAGCCACCTGGACAAGACACGGGCAGACAGACAGGCATGGGGTCAGCTTTTCAGAGACTTGGCTTCCAGCACTTGGAGACAAAAGGGAACACTTTGCTAACTCAAGTAACTCCACAATAGTTGCAGAGAGAGGCCTTCTTGGCACTGCTTTTTCAAAACAGGCACAATGGCACAGGGTGAGGGGAGGGCAGAAAGGGAATAATGCCAGTAAATCCTATTAATCTGGCAAACCCATGGATTAAACCAGAGCTCTCCAGAGGCAATCTTCCCTGGAATCTGAAGCTGGCCTTTTTGAGAACCAAGTTTTCCTCATTGAAGCCTTTAAAATATACACATATAGGCCGGGTGCAGTGGCTCAGAGTTGTAATGCCAGCACTTTGGGAGGCTGAGGCAGGTGCATCACCTGAGGTCAGGAGTTCAAGATCAGCCTGGCCAACATGGCAAAAACTACTAAAAATACGAAACTTAGCTGGGCATGGTGGCGCATGCCTGTAATCTCAGCTCCTTGGGAGGCTGAAGTGGGAGAATTGCTTGAATCTGGGAAGGTGAAGTTGCAGTGAGCCCAGACCGTGGCACTGCACTCCAGCCTGGGCGACAGAGCGAGAAACTAAACAAAAAACAAAACAAATATATATATATACATACATACATACAAACATACATAATGTGAAATAACACACACATACACAAAGACATCCTGGAAATTCCTAAATACTAAGGAGACAAAAACATCAAGTATAAGAGGCACCAGTGATTTAAAATAACCATCAATGTTTCTTAACTCTTGGCTAAGAACAAGCATAAAGTAACCGTCTCATTACCAGAGAGATCTGAGAGGGGAAGGGAAACAATGCTATGATTGATCATCACTGTAACGTTCCAAAGCCAGACTCTCCTCCTTTTCAAAATGTTAAAATATACTATTTCACCCTTAAAATAGAAATCTTCTTAGTCATTTTGTTTTTTGAGATGGGGTCTTGCTCTGTCATCCAGGCTGGAGTGTGGATGTCATGATCACAGCTCACTGCAGCCTCAACCTTCCAGATTCAAGTGATCCTCCTGCCTCAGCCTCTTGAGTAGCTGGGACTACAGGCCCATGCCACCATGCCTCGCTAATTTTTGTTTTTTTCTTTTAATTTCTTTTTTTGTTTTACACAGAGTCTCCCTACAGTGCCCAGGCTGGTCTCGAACTCCTGGGCTCAAGTGACCCTCTTGCCTTGGCCTCCCCAAAGTGCTGGGGTTACAGGCATGAGCCACCGCACCCAGCCATCTTATTTGTTTAAAGCTAGGCCTTGTATAACACAAGAACTATTATTTTAATGTTCTAAAATATAAACCATTCTAGGAAGATGGGGTGTTGGTCTTTTATCAATTGCAGCCCTCATGAACCATGTGACTGACGGACTACTCTGGCAGACACAGCCAGATTGTCACAAACTCCTCCCTAAAAATTCTGCAAGGGAAGTCAAGGTCTCTCGTTATTCAGGGTTGGCACGCCCACCTGACACTATGGGGTTAGAGCGTGTAAGACAGGCTAGTGGTTATAGATCACCTCTGTGTGCTGGTACGTTTTCAGAAAAGCTTATCAGGAAGCAAATGGGTGAGAGGGGTGCTGTTTTAGGGATAAGCCAGACACGTCTCTAAATTCAGCAAATAATCAGCAAACGTCTGCCTCTTTTGGATTGATGCTATTATCTGTGTCCACAAGATGTCAATCTCCTACCCCATCTCCTTTTTTTTTCTTCCAGAGACACGGTCTCACTCTGTCACCCAGGCTGGAGTGCAGTGGTGCAATCATAGCTCACTGCAGCTTCAAATTCCTGGCCTCAACTCATCCTAGGACTCAAATGAAGCTAGGACTATAGGCACACAGCACCATCACAGGCTTTTTTTTTTTTAAGAGGGAGATGGGGTCTTGCTATGTTGTTGCTCAGGCTGGCCTTGAATACCTGGCCTCAAGGAATCCTCCTGCCACAGCCCCCTAAAGTACTGGGATTACAGGCATGAGCCAGGACATGTGGCCCACAAGATGCCAATCTCATGATTCAGCTTAGTGACATTAGTAAATTGCTTCTGACACCCTTCACCCAGGGGTGCATGACCACCCCCAGATGGAAACAGCGTTGTGAAGATACTCAATAGCAGAGTCTGCCACTGACAATCTTCAAGCCTCTCCATCCTTTCTGCGAAGGCCCAGTTTGCCTTTACACCCACCACAGGTATGAAGAAGAGATCAAGGCAAAGGGACAAAGTGCTCGTGCGCCTCCTCTGACCCCTCCCGCGGGCCTGCCATTCCCACCTGTTGGCCACAATGCTGGGGTAACAGGCCTTCTGGTTCTCATCCACCTTCAGGTCACTCAGTGGATAAAGTGCTCCTGCTCCTCACAGGTCCAAATGACGCTGACCCCCAGCAAGGTCTCATTGAAATGGGAATAGACAGGGGAGCGGCTGACCGACTCGAGATGCTTCACCTGCCGGGAGGTGGCCACGTAGAACCTCGAGTTGAGAATGGACATGGAAAGCTGAGGCAGGCTCTCTCATCCCTCATCCTCCCAGGGCTGTGCTGGAGAAAGTCTAGACAGAACCGATACCTCCAGGAGGCACAATGTTAGAGCCGGGCCGCTCCCACAGGGGAGCCCACTCACCTAGTGAGCCACAGGCACAGCACCGCCAACCATGAGGACAAAGACAAGAGCTCATGCCTATGCAAAGCCCAGTGCCCCAGACATTGTTCTAAGCATTTTTACACACATCAGTTCATTCAGTCCTCACAAAAAACCTACCAGGTGCTCATTCCTACATATGACGGGTAAACTAAGGCTCAAAGAAGCTAGTTAATCTCCTCCCCAAGGTCACATGGCTAACAAGGGGCAGAGCTGCAGTTCAAACCCAGGCCATCTGGGCTGCAAAGTGCTAACCTCTACCCTGCACAGCCTCTCTGAAGTCTTTGACCTCTAGTGTTTTCTGGATCCAGCACAGTGGTTTTAGGCACAGCCTTTGAGGTCAATCAGACCTCAGTTCAAATCCTGACTCAACTAGTAATTCGCAACATAAACATGGGTAATATGTTATTTCTCTAAGCCTCAGGTTCCTTATCTGTAAAATAGGAACAACAATGCTTGCTCGGTGAGGCGTGGTGGCTCACACTCGTAATACCCACACTTTGGGAGGGTGAGGCGGGAGATCACTCGAGGCCGGGAGTTTCAGACCAGCCCAGGCACATGAGAAAACACCATCTCTACAAGAACAGAAAATTATTTTAAAAAAACAAAAAACAAGACTTGCTTCACAGGGTAATTGTGAGGATGACAGGTAGCAATCACACAGTCATCCGTCTGATGTAAATTTGCACGTACACATTATTTCACAAATCACACAGTCATACACGATGTCACGAAGCATAGTGCCTGGTAATAACAGAAACAGCTGTTTCTGTAGATAAGAAATGAATATTAGCAATTTCATACAGTTTGACCTAACGAAAAGCACTCAGTTCGACGGTGACTACTGTGAGCATTAAGTGACAGAATTCTGCCTATTGATCACATCCCCTCAGGGGGGACTGTTTATTCCATGGCCAGTTCCAGCACTCTCAGCCCAGCTGAGACGCCCATGAGGACAAGGCAAACCTTGTCACCTGCCTCTCCTTCGATGGCCTCCCAGTGCTCTTAGAGGTGCCAACCATGCTTCCCCCCACTCACCTCATCCTGTAACTCTCCCCCTGCTTTCCTGCATGCAGGCCACCTGCCTCCACCACTGTCCCTGTCCCATATGGGCCATTCCTCATCACCCAGCAGATGACAGCACAAATGTCACTTCCTCACGAAGCCCTTCCCATCCTCCAATGTGGGCACCATCTCCGGGCTTCAGTGTCCCAGCCCCTAGGCTACAATGACACATTTCACAAGCAGCTCCATGCAACCTCGTGGGCAGACACCTCATCTGCTCTGCCTGCCCCAACCTGGGCATTCAGCCAGTGCCAGGCACCGAGAGCCGCCCATAGGTCTTGTTAGATTCATAACAAAAGCCAACCACCTTATGGAAGCTTTGAGGAGCTGTGGAACATATGCTGGGACGGCCGTCTGAGGACACTTGTGCTCTCCTGGTCTAGGTTTCATCATCTATGCACAAGGAACTGGTGAGCCCGGGGTTCCTGATTCCAAAAAGTGCCTACAAGTGCTTATCAACAGCAGAGCTGGGAAAACTAATGACAGGTTGCTAGAAACTCGGCCTCCCTGTGTCCTGCCCTGGGCCAGATATACTGGGCCACCTTGGGGCAGAGTCCAACAGAGAGCATCGACAGCAGCAGGTGGCTTTTACAAGGCCTCTGTGGTTGGCAGCTTCTTTCTGGGTGGCAGCATGGGCATTAGTTGGAACCCACAGATGGAGAGTCTTCTGGGGCCCAGAAATGCTGTAAGTGAACCCACCTACTGCACAACCACAGATCAGCTCAGAAGAGCTGTTCCGTCAATTCCCAGAATGTGGATCAGGTATCATTTCTTGTCCTGTTCCCACCACCTCCCATGAAATCCCAAGCCCTCCGCATGCCTGAAGGCCCAGGTGATCTGCCCCCATCTTACCCTGGACCGCCCCCCTTACTCTCTCACCAGCTTTCTTTTTGAACAGGCCAGATGCCAATTGCTCTGATGTGTGTAAGTGTGTTCCCTGTTCAATTTCCTCCCCTTACTACTGCCTCTGAACCTTATTTACTGGAAAAATCTAATCTGAGAAAATATTTGTTCAGGAATGATCTGTTTTATTTTGAGACAGAATCTTGCTCTGTCACTCAGGCTGGAGTGCAGTGGCACAGTCGTGGCTCACTGCAACTTCTGCCTCCCAGATTCAAGCAATTCTCCTGCCTCAGCCTCTCTAGTAGCTGGGATTGCAGGCACCCACCACCACACCCAGCTAATTTTTGTATTTTTAGTAGACACGGGGTTTCACCATGTTGGCCAGGCTGGTCTCAAAACTCCTGACCTCATATGATCCACCTGCCCCACCAATCTGATATTTTTTTTGAGACAGAATCTTGCTCTGTCACCCAGGCTGAAGAGCAGTGGCATAATAGCTCACTGTTACCTCCACCTCCCAGGCTCAAATGACCCTTCCACCTCAGCCTCCCAAGTAGCTGGAACTACAGGTGTACACCACCACACCCAGCTAATGTTTGTATTTTCTATAGAGGCCAGGTTTTCCCATGTTGCCCAGGGTGGTCTCCACCTTTTGGGCCCAAGCGATCCTCCTGCCTCAGCCTCCCAAAGTGCTGGAATTACAAATGGGAGCCACTGCGCCCGGCTGAACTTCATAGAAACAAAATCTCACAGTACATATTCTTTTGTGTCTGGCTTTTTCATCACTATAATATCTGTGAGATAAACCCAAATTGTCGTGTATTAGCATTTCATTCCTTTTTACTACTCAGTCATAAATTGTATAATTATTTCACGATTTATTTCTCCACAGTCCTGTTATGGACATTTGAGTTGTTTCCAGTCTGGGGCAATTATGAATCAAGATGCTGAGAACATTCTAAGCATTGCCTTTTCTCTTTCTCTTTTTTTCATATACTCAGGAATGAGACTGCCTGGTGAGAGGATAAATGTACATTTAGCCAAAATCCATTAAAAAATTATCCTACAATCCCAACCCTTAAAAACATGATGTTTTCATGCATCTGGGTCCCTTCCAGTCCTGCCCACACACATGGTGCATTTCCTCTCAGTGATAATGACAGTGCACACACAACTTGGCCCTTCGCTGAAAGCATTTCCTTTGTTGTTGAAAAATAAAATCTTTGGTGTGGCCACAACAGCTTCTTCTAATGCTCCCTGCTCAAAGCCACATGGCTCCATGGTGTTCCCAGGGTCCTGCTATCAGCAGATATTTAAGTTGCCTTCAACACTGCATTTGGCCTGTTTTGTTCTTTTTGAGTCTTTCAGGAAATTTTCCAGCTGGCGTATGAACACAGAATTACATTTTTGGTAAATGTAAAAAAAAAAAAAAAAAAAAGCTGGGGCCGATTTCAAGGGGTTGTAATGAGACTCTGGGAACGGGACCTGCTCTCTCTGATTCTATCACTGTTTGTTCTCCTCAGTCACTGGGCCACAGTGTGGTGGGCCACAGGGGCTGGATGACGGAACAAGGCCTCCTGGACGCCACCTGAACGGTTGTGCACATGGTCTGAGATATGGCGAACCTCGTGGTTTCTTACTCTTGTGATGCATTGCAGCTGGAATGCTCTCATCTAAACAACCCATCCCCACTGCAAATGTGCTGCAGTGAATCCTTTAGGGGTAAGTAACAGCACAGTTTTGGAATTGGACAGACCAGAGGTTGCACTCTCAGCTCTCCCACTTCACAAGACACTCCACCTGTCAACTGAAAACATCTATCCTGCAGTACCCTAAGAAACCACGTGTTCAAAGAACATATAACAGACTCTGCAAAAGGGATGTAGCAGAGACTGATTACCTACACAATTTCCCTTTCCTTTCCAACAGAAACTTCTTTATTTTTCAGATAGGGTCTCGCTCTATCGGCTCGCTGCAACCTCCACCTCCCGGGTTTAAGCCATTCTCCTGCCTCAGCCTCCTGAGTAGCTGGGACTACAGGCAGGCACTGCCATGCCGGACTAATTTTTTTGTATTTTTTGTAGAGATGGGGTTTGACCATCTTGGTCAGGGTGGTCTCGATCTCCTGACCCCATGATCAGCCCGCCTCAGCCTCCCAAAGTGCTGGGATTACAGACATGAGCCACCACACCCAGCAAATGTTTGCATTTTTTGCAGAGATAGGGTTTTGCCATGTTGCCCAGGCTGCTCTCGAACCCCTGGACTAAGCAATCCACCTGCCTTGGCCTCCCAAAGTGCTAGGATTATAGGCATGAGCTACTGCACCCAGCCTTTATTTAATTTTCATAGTTGAAATAGCTACCTGTGTCTTGTGACTACCACACCAGACAGCAGAGCTCTAGAACAGACACTGTTGCTGTGTGAGTTCAGGTAATATCACACCCTCTCTGTTCTCTACCTTCCCTCAGTTAGTTTGTATGCCACAGTCCTTTGCCCTAATGGCAAGGAAAGGGGAGGTTAGGGATTGAGAGACTCAAGGAATCCATGTCTGCCCTGCTACAGGTGGGTTTTCCCAAAGCCATCTCCTGGAGATCCTGAGACATCGGTGCTTCTCTCAAACTACCCACAGGAGGGCAGTGTGCGTTCCAGAGCAGCAACTTCCTAGGAACAGAGAGGCTTGCATCTCGGCCTCTTTAATCAGGAAGACACCCATGAAGCAGGGACTCCAGTGACAGACTCTGGAGCCAATGTGCCAAAACCCACCTCCACCACTTACCAGCTCTGGGACCTCCTACAGGTCACTGAATCTGTTTTCTCATCTATACAATGGACAATGATGCTGGTACTCAAATGTGTCAAGCCTATCCATTTACTGCATATGTATCATATGGAACATACATGTGTATTTACAAACATGGCTCACACACTGCATAGCACAGTGCTTA